TCTGCTGAGAAAGTAGGATATCAGCAGTATGAGCGTGCAGGCAAATTGCTTAATCGATGTGATTTGTTGTCTTCCAGTACCGGGAATTCAGTTGAACGAGTAGTTTACTATTTTTCTGAAGCTCTTCGAGAGAAGATTGATCGCGAAACTGGAAGAGTCACACCAAAGGGTTTGGGGAACAAGCCTTCATTTGATGTTAATAAGGCAATGAGGAGACCAAATGAGACCTCCCTTGCATGTCAAATCAAGATTCCTTTCGGCCAAGTTGCACAATTTGCTGGAATTCAAGCCATTGTGGAAAATGTGGCTGAGGCTAAGAAGGTACATGTAATTGATCTGGAAATCAGGAATGGGGTGCAATGGACAGGTCTGATGCAAGCCTTAGTATCTCGTTCTGATTGTCCAGTTGAGCTTCTCAAGATAAGTGCTATAGGAACTAGTTCCAGAAAATTAATTGAGGAAACAGGTAAGAGGTTGGAGAGTTTTGCCGAAAGCATGAACTTACCCTTTTCTTTCAAATTAGTGATGGTACCAGACATGCTAGATCTCAAAGAAGATATGTTTGAGCTAGATTCTGAAGAAACAGTTGCTGTCTACTCTGAGTTCGCAATGAGGACCATGGTTGCACAGCCAGATCGACTGGAATCTGCAATGAGAGTAATCAAAAACATCCGTCCATGTGTAACAGTGGTCACTGAAGTTGAGGGAAATCACAACTCTCCGGTCTTTGTGACCCGTTTTATTGAGGCCCTTTTCTTCTTTGGCGCATACTTCGATTGTGTGGAAACTTGTATGGAACGAAATGATCCAAACAGAATGATTTTAGAATCACAGTACTTTGGGAATGGACTTAGAAACATTGTGGCAGCTGAAGGAGAGGAAAGGAAGATTCGAAATGTGAAGATTGACGTTTGGAGGGCATTTTTCGCACGGTATGGAATGGAGGAAATAGATTTGAGCCCATCATCCTTGTATCAAGTAGACCTGGTGCTTAAGAATTTTTCTTGTGGGAGTTCTTGCACAGTCAATATGGATGGGAAATGCCTTGTTGTTGGGTGGAAGGGCACACCTCTCCAGTCTCTTTCTCTTTGGAAATTTCCTTGATAATAATAAGAAATGGAGTTGGCATGTGGTTTTATATCCCTCATATATATTTCTTTTCTTGGTTGAGCTTCAAACTTTAATTTCTGTTTTATAACTATGATTCAGGACCTTTATAGGTTATTATTATTATTAATTTTTTAATCATCATCGATGCGTTCATCACAACCCAGTTTCTGATTGAAGCATGCTTCATGCAAAGCCCCACCTCACATTTCCATTGCTAACCTTGTGCTTTATTAAACTGAAATGATTGATTGGAACATATGATGCATAATGATGAGTGATGATTATATTGTCTCACAAGTTCTCATGCTGTTTTGTTTACTGTGGGAGCGATTTTCATCCCACAAGAATATTCGTCTAAAATTCCGTCGTCTTCTTCGCTTCTCTTTCTCCTTGCAAAACAAATCGGAATAAGAGGACCACACCCGGGGGGTGTTGGCCAAAGGCCCTTCGATGCCTAAGTTAGGTCAAGTGTTTGTAGGAAAACAATAGCTAACAATAGGGTGGAGATTTCTCTAGGGTAAGAACTGGGTGGCCGGAGCCTTGTGTGAGAGAGAGAAAGAGTATGGTGGCTAGGGTTTGTGAGAGAGAATTTCTGCAGAGTTTTAGATAGAAATTTAGATGTACCTCAACCCTTGTGCGTAGCCAAGTATTTATAGAAGCCTTGGAGGCTCAGGTTTCGGAAGAATAATTCCACAGATGGAAAGGAATTATTCTCTTGATTTGGCAAGATCAATGTAATTAGGGATTTGATTTAAGGCAAGAATCAAATAAATCCCATTTAAATCAAAAAACCTCCCAATTGAATTGAGTAACTCCCAATTAGGTCAAATAATTCCCAAATTGATTGGCTTAATTATTTGACCTAGGATATGAGATAATTTGCTTCCACATTTACTCTTTTGAAGTTTATGTTGTCTCACAAGTTCTCATGAGTGAATTCCTGCCTCAATGATATCAGGTCATGATCTAAAAAGGAACTTCACTTTGATATGTTAAGATTAAGTACAAATTATGACACTCTCTGAATTTTCTTCCTTGTGCAAGGAGATGATCACTTTGCTTTATTTATCTACTGATGGATTCCTGTGTGAAGAAAACTAAGCCATTAAGAGAGGCAACTGTTAGTGAAAGATTTCAACTACAGACATATGTCCTCATCACACTGAAGCTGTACAAGGGCAACCACAAAACATGTCTCTCCAGCCATGGATCATAAGTTCATAACACGCTTGCTCTATAAATTTTTGCACAACTTAATATCTAAATTCAACTATCATGAAAGCTACCCTGCAAGAATTGTGAACGTCAGTCTTGTTCTAGATGTCTACTGTGTCAAACTAGTATTGAGTGTATTGTGCTGTGCATATTACTCAAACTAGATGGTGTCGATTTGCTCCCGATTTGTATTATTACTATTAAAATTCTACTATTTCTTTTTTATTTCCCTTCCATCAACTTGATGCCATGCTGTGGTGCTTCATGAAAACATGCTTCCAGTTTGTACTTTCTTCCCTCTGTTGTGTGGTCTTCTGGCTTGTCTTATTCTTTATCTTTATTCCTTTATTCTTTTGCTGCATAATAAGCCGGCTGACATTCTAAGAAAATTTACTTAAAGATATTCCAGATCCTTGTTATGGAGAAACCTATATCAACAAAAGGAATAATTTAGCTATCCGCTTGGATCATGTCGTCCCATATTCCTTGCAAAAATAATATTGTCTGTAGCTTTTGGATGTATTAAACTGTGGCCAGGCTATTGTGGATCAACAAGAATCATTTGGTGAAAACCAGAATAATTTGTATTGTACTAATTTTTTTTATAGTAAACCTGTCCAATCCAACCAAGTTACTTAACCATTTCAGTTTTCCATACAGCTGTTGACAGTTTTTTCCTTGAAATTTCATGGAAGGCCAAGCCTAGAATATCCTACAAATTTTGTCAAACCATGTCAAAAGTCATAGCTTAGCTTTCGACAACCAAGAGGTCAGCTTGTAATACACAGGATGAGAATTGAGAACCCTTACACTTAAACATTAAGAAAAACCCCCAGCTTTATACACTTTGAACCATGAGTTGTGTACCTGGCTTGTCAACTGTTGAAGTAATGAGAATAGCAAGAGCAAGCTTCATCCAGTTCTCTTCCTGGAGATACGCTGATGACTGCATGCCTGCTCGTGTTTTAGGCAGTGCTCCGCTTGGCCTCTCAGACCAGGAAACCAAAGATGTTGAGCTTGCACACCTTCTTTTAGCTTTTGCTGAAAAGGTCGCGAAGCAGCAATATGGTTGTGCAAGAAAACTACAGAACCTATGCCATTTCCTATCTTCCAGCTGTGGAAATTCAGTTCAAAGAGTTGTTTACTATTTTACCAAAGCTCTTCAGGAGAAGACTGATAGAGAAACTGGCAGAAACGCATCTGAGGGCTCAGAAAGCAGAGATGTACTTGCAATGTATTTCCAAGAAGCAATGGCGAGTTCGACTCCTGCTTTAATGGCATGCTTCTTAGAAGTTCCCTTTTATCAAATAACTGAGTTTGCAGGGATCCAAGCAATTGTTGAAAGTGTAGCATCAGCCAAAAAGATTCACTTCATTGACCTTGCAATCAGAACTGGGGGGCACTGCATAGTGTTGATGCAAGCTCTTGCAACTCGATACGAATGCCCGATCGAGCTGCTAAAAGTTACTGCTGTTGGAGTGACATCAAGAGAAAAGATTGAGGACACTGGCAGAAGGTTGGCTCAGTTTGCCGAGGCATTGAAATTACCATTTTCCTTCAAAGTAGCCATGGTGAAAGATATCAAAGATGTCAATGAAGACACCTTTGAGTTAGAGGATGGTGAAGCAGCTGCAGTTTACTGCCCTCTACTGCTATGCAGCACAATGAGACAACCCAATTGCTCAGAATCTCTAATAAAAGTACTCAGATACCTCAATCCCCGTCTGATGGTGATCACCGAAATCGAAGCAAATCACAACTCACCAACTTTCACAAACCGATTCAATGAAGCACTCTTGTACTATAGTGCTTATTTTGAGTGCCTTGATGTCTGCATGGACAGGGGCAGCACCTACAGGATGGAATTGGAGGAAACATATTTGAGCCTTGAGATAAAAAATATCATTGCGAGCGAAGGCAAAGAGAGGATAATCCGGCGCATGAAAATCGATGCTTGGAGGACTTTGTTTGCAGAATGTGGAATGGTAGAAGCAGAGCTCAGCTTGTCATCCTTGTACCAAGCAGACCTTGTGGCTAAACAGTTTGCTTGTGGGAGTTGTTGCACACTGGATACTAATGGGAAAGGCCTTGTTGTTGGATGGAAAGGAACACCAATTCTCTCTCTTTCTGTTTGGAAGTTCCATGCAGTCAATGCTAAGACTGCTAAATATCTCATGTAATAGCTAAGCACCTATAAACAAACGAAAAAAAAAGAAAGAGGAGATCAATGTTTCTAAATTTTGTTTTCCTGACAAGGTATCAAGAGTGCATCCCTTTCCCTTGATGTTAGTGGAGAAATTATAACAAAAGACCATGACATCAGCCAAATTAGTAATAGGGAAATTGAAAACAGAATCGAGGGATCTGCTGTCTCCAAATTTCATGTCTCCAAAAAGAATTAGAAAGAAATATACAAGGGGCAGAAATTACACATTGGATCTTTACTTGCGGGCCCATTATCAACAATGGTGGGCCATTGTCCAAAGCTCCTTTAATAAGACACGCGTAGCGGTTCTTTTGCTGCATGGCTACCACGTGTTGGGCAGACGAAGATTGCCCATTGGGCCTGTCCTCTCCAACACAAAAGCGCTTCACCATCTCTCTCCCTCTCACTCGAACAGTCAAACACAGAGAGCACAAGGAAAGGAAAGGAAGAGAGATCGAAGTCGCAGAAAATGGATGGGAAGTCGAAGCCTGGGGTGCCGTACGGCGGGATGACCGACACGTGGGCGAAGAAGCACCGTCTGATCTACATTGGAGCCACCCGACACCCTTTTATCCTCAGCATTCGTGACGGCACCGTCGATCTTTCAGCCTTCAAACGATGGCTGGTAAGTAAGCCGCACGCAATAAACGTGGTTAGTTTAATTACTTCGTAACGGTGTCGTTTCATTTTCCAATTTCTCCGAACAGCGTTTAGAAATTGCAATTTGTTTATTTTATTTTGTTTTTGTAATTTAATTTTAAAATGTTTGGTGTGGCTGTAGGGGCAAGACTACATATTTGTTAGGGCGTTTGTGCCTTTTGTAGCGAGTGTGCTGATCAGGGCTTATAAGAAAGGTGATGAGAGTAGTGGTGATATGGAAGTGATATTGAGTGGTTTGGGTTCTCTGAATGATGAGATTGCATGGTTCAAGCAAGAGGCTTCCAAATGGGGTGTTGACCTCTCTCAAGTTGCCCCTGAAAAACCAACCCAACATTACTGCAGGTAGTTAACTACCATCTTCTTTTAATTAAACTCAAAATTACTTTCTCAGCATTTAGCAATCAGTCATTAATTAGTAATGTGTCTTATGTCGGTCCACCCCCTGCACTCAAGTTCGAATACCCCCCTAAATTAATCTAGTTCAATGTAGTTTAGATTATCGTTTGTATTCAAAAACTATGCTGGGTTTAGGCCATGGTGAGTATTTATATGTACCAAGTAGTCCTCCTTCCTTGGTCCATTATGGCATGCGAGATTTTCTGAATTTTGTTTTCTCCAATTTTATTTTCTATAAGTTTGTTCACCAAATGATGTGACATGTGACAGGGGAATGAAGTTTAGATTGGGCTAGGAAGGAACAAACAAATGATACATAGTTGGGATTAAAAATTTAGGATATTTTTTATGTCAATATTAGTACTAATTGGAGTGGTGTTTTTACAGATTTCTAGAGGAATTAATGAGGCCAGAGGTTGATTATACTGTGGCCACGGCAGCCTTTTGGGCCATTGAAACTGTGTACCAAGAGAGCTTTGCCCATTGTCTGGAAGAGGGGTCCAAAACCCCACCAGAGCTACAAGAGGCTTGCCAGAGATGGGGCAATGATGGGTTTGGTCACTACTGCTCATCTCTCCGAAACATAGCTGACCGTCAGTTGGAGAAGGCGGCTTCAGGCAGCGAGCCTCTGGTGAAGGTTTCAGAAGATGTGGTGAGCAAAGCTGAAGTAACATTCCTGCGTGTGCTTGAATATGAGGTTGATTTCTGGAACATGAGCTGTGGAACAGCTGGACACTCTGCTGCTCCAAAACCCTAAGAATGGAAGCAGGTGATCAGCTTGCTTTGGTTTGTTTACTTTAATGTTCTGAGACTGAGAGCAGTAAATATTAGGCTACAGTTGCACAAAGTAAAACAACTCTTACCTGTGTTTGTGTAAATTAAACTACGCTATAATAAGTCACTGTTTGAGATCTATGTAGCTTTTAAATCCCATTTTAAGTCGAACATATCTAGTGCCAAAGCTTTTGTAAGGTTGGGGCAAGTCTCTTTATCGAGCGGTCCGAAAATAGACAAATCTCTCCTTGTATTTTCCTTGGTTGTAAAGGTCCCCTTTGTCACAGGTAAACGAACAGAAGAAACTAAAAAGGGAAAGTTCTAAGTAAGCAGGAAGCAAATGTCAAATGACAACATGCATTCCTCCATGCTACCTCCTTCATCACTGATGGTATATATACATAAAGTGATGCCATGAATATAATGCCAGAAACAGCAGATTCGATTAATTATTCTATTTACTTTTAAATCCTCTCAGAAAACAAAAAGCCAGCGAACAACATGGAACCCTCCCATCAGTTGTACGCACGCTTTTGTGCCAATATTGCATTACACCCACTGCTTTACTAGTAGTCCCGTATTTCATTATGCAGGTATTAATCCTCCTGCACCAGTTCCCAATCGATATTATAATACTTACCCTCATCATGCAGCAGCTTCTGCACAATGTGACAGCGCCCTCCTGAACATGATGCTGTGCCTAAAACGAAGCTCAAGAAGAAAAGCAGGCCTTATGGCATTCACATCACAAGACATCTTATAAAGTGGCGGCAATCGAGTTAGCCGAAACAAAGGGGATCGTGATGGAGCTTTCAACATTGGTATCAATTATTGTACTTGTCAAGACTTGAGCCCTAGTACTGTTGAGAGGGAGAAGTATGGAAAGTTAATTGGCAACAAGTATGGCACTCATCGTTGACGTGAGCAGAGCCGGTTCATTGATTTTGGAGGCCCTGTGCAAATATGGATGTCGAGGCCCTATATATACAAGTAGGAAAAAAAAATCCATATAGAAATAAAAATTTCTGACACGGGAAGAACACATTCGGAAAGAGCTTCTCAGAAAAATTTCTTTAGTCACCCTTCCAAATCACAGAGCTGATAAATTGATTTTCCAATTTCAATGCTTGGTGAATTCTCATGTGAATAAGGGAGGGAGAAAAAAACTGTGATTTTGGGGAAAGGGCTAAAGCTTGGATTTTTACAATCCAAAATTTGATGGAAGAGGGTGGTACACTAGTACTGAAGAGAAATGACTTTATTTTGATGGAGGAGAGTGAGAAAGACTTACTGAAAGAGAAAAGAATATTATAATGATTTTGCAGCTTCAGAGTTGGGAAGAGGAAAACACAGGTTTCAAACCATAATAAATAAATAAAAAGAAGAGTTGCAGCGTAAGAGTTGGGAAGAGGAAAATGAATTAAATTAGGGCCTCTACTCTCTAAGTCGTAGAATTTGTTGATAATTAATATTTAATTCAATTTTGGTTTTGGTGCCTTGCATGTGGTGTTGTGGGGTGATATTTAAGATTTCATTTTTATTTTCATGTTTTAATTAATTTAATAAGTTGACTTGGAAAAATTTGAAGGCTCATAAATTTGGAGGCCCTACGTGGTCGCACACCTCGCACACCCCATGGGCCACCTCTGGACATGAGTCAAAAGCTAGGGAGAAGAAGGTCAAGGCCTTGAAGGGCATTAGTCTGTACAAGTAGGGGTTAGGCCTAGAGTTAGTATAGAAAGACTTGGTTTGTTTTAAATTAGTTTATTATATATATATATATATATATATGCTTAGCTTAAGTAAAACATATATGTTATTTTGGGTTTCAGTTGAAAGATCTATCAAGTAATAATTTGAACAGTTGACGTCTTGGCCTGCTTCATCTCCGATATAGACTCCCCTAACGCATTGGGGTTTGTCAAATTCTATATACCAAATGATATGAAAGTCCAGCTCATTTTTATCCCACATTTCTATACCACATGATGTGGCATGTCCATATCATATGCCACATCAATTAAATGAATGAAGTGTATTTTAATAAATAAAATTAGAAAAACAGAAATTAGTATTTTACATGATATGGTATGTATACATCAGCTGCCACATCATGTGGTATAAAATTGTGGTATAAAAATGTGGTAAGACTAGTATTAATCTTTAAATAAAAACAGGCTATGGACAAAACAATGTGTAGAGTTTATTAGGTCACCAACAACACTCAAAGATTGTCTTCTTCGCGAGGCGTACAACAGCTCAACAAAATTTCAGGAGAAAAAAACCCTTGTCATAGCTTTGAGACAAAACACACAAGAAACCAACAACAACCGAAAAACTTAAATTCCAATTGAAAATCATTTTGGGTTTTCTCTATCTCTCTGTTTGAGGCATTTAGTCAAAAACGTCGTGGGCACCAGCAGAGGGACAGATTCCAGCCTCTGAAAAATTCCTAGGTCCGTTGTTGAGCCTCTCTAAAGGATTTTCTAGCGAAAGGAGGTGCAGTTGCAATTTCTTACGACTCTGTAGGTCCACCATTGGATATATATATAGTCCACGCCAAAACGAAAGGAAAAAATTATCTTCGTATTTTTTTTTCTTATGAACTAATTAAAGATTGGATGTATTATCTAGTAACGTTATAAATGAGAGATTTACAACAAGGAAAAGGAAAAACATCTTATAACTCATGGACTTTGAAAGAGAGCAATATGTTGTTAGAACTAATAGTTGCTGCTGTCAATCGTGCATGGCGCGATTCTAATGGTTTACTAAGCAAGCAATAATAGAAAGCAAGATACTTCATGTTCTTAATGCAAAACTTGGATGCCAAAAAACTTATCTTCAATATCAGACTTGTCTGAAATAGTTTAAGACAAGATATCACAGTTTTACTCATCTTATGCATCATAGTTTTGGATTTGGGTGGGACTCTGTCTCAACGAAATTCACAACTACTGAAAAAGTATGGCAAAATTACTTTAAAGTTGGATTTGCATGTTATTAATTTTTTCTTCTATATTTTTTGTTTTTGCTAGTCCCACCCAAGTTAAGTGCATCTTCAAAGAGAAGCATTTGCAAACTACGAGGATTTGGTAATTGCAATTGGCAATGGAACTTCTACTGGGAAAAACTCAATTGGACTTGGTGATGATACCGATTCTAGAACGTATAAAGTTGGAGAAAGTAGACCTATGAGATTGCAGGATGCCAATGAGGCATTTGTACCAAGTTAAAATGAAACACCACACCAAACTTTGTCATCTGAAAATTTTACTTCATCACCTTTTCTAGGCACAAATTTGGAGGCTTCATTGAGGGCTACATATTTATTTATTTTTGTCTATATTAGGTAGTATTGTAAATATTAATTGGACCTATGTCATATATTCAGGTAATATTTCTTAGTGGATTGTGGATTCCCAAATTGACGTCAACTTTTAGCTCCGTTTCGAGGTTTTCGATATCATTTTCAAGATTTTTCCGGTCAAGGTCGTGATCACGAAAATGCAGCTGAGTTGTTCAATCTTAGACATGCTTCCTTCATAAACGTAATCGAGAGAATATTCAGTATATTTAAGTCTCTATTCACAATTTTTAAGTCTGCCCATTCATTTCCACATAAGACACAAGCAGAGTTAGTCTTAGCTTGTGCAGGGTTGCACAATTTTCTGCGCAGGGAGTGTCATTATGATGAATTTCCTATTGAAGGAGACAACGACCATTCAACATTGTCATCGTTACCAGAAAATTAAGGAAATAATTATGACCAAGTTTTTCAAACCCAAGAACAACAACGCGAGAATGCTAACCAACGGAGGGTTGGAATATCTTCAGATATATGGAGAGATGCTATGAGTGACGGGGGTCAAAGATGAGCAATGAAGCAGATACCTGTTCGTTTTTATACATTTATAATTATAGTTTACTTATATTTTTTTTTCATGAATTAACTTTTATGTTTTTACTTTTGCACATTTTTCATAAACATGTAGACATAAATCCTTATATGGTTGCACATTTGAACAAAACATATGCTCTTTTTTTATTTTCTTTTGATGTATAATGTTTGGACGCTATATTTTTGTAAAGGTATTTTTCTATTTTGAAAATCTGGAAAAACAATAAATAGCCCCAAAAAAAAAGGAAAAAGAAAATAACATTTTAGAACTCTAATAAACTCTTTTCAAATCTATGATAAAACTCTAACAAACACCATTCAAATCAATTTAGAAATTTAGTCAAACTGTATGTAGACTTTATAGAAATCAATTGAAATATATTGAACTCTATAAACTTAATAACTCCGTTGAACTCTTTTAAAATCTTAATTGAATACACCCTTTTAAATAAACAAATTCAACTTTATAATGACATCCAAACTCTTAAATTTGGAATCACTCCATCTAAATGGACCCTTACAGTCTTAAAAACGAACAAACTAGAACTACACTAGCTGCCACATTACATTCAGGGCCGTTTGGTTCATATGAAATGAGGCTTGGGAATATCCCATTTTTAGTAAGTCCATAGGAAATGGTTACTGGTACATGGAAAAATAGGGGGAAAATGCAACCGACTACCCCTGAAGGGGTTTTTCATTTTCCCTTCCCATGTGATATTAAAGTAGCATTAAATGCACATTTTCTTCCCATTAACAATTTAGAATTACAATATAGTATTAAATGAATTATTTTATTTTATTTTATCTAATATGGGTGTAATGTTAGTTTTCTCCAAATCATCTTCGTCTCTCTGTTCACTTCTTCAAGACATTCTATCTCTTCTCCGCAAGCTACTTGCTTCCAGTGCTATTGATTGGGACTTCTGCAACTACTCTCATTGTAGAAGGTGGGAGAATGGCGATTCAAATAAAAAAATCTGCACTTTTGTTGCATCAAGCAGATTGGCTTTTGTGATTTCATCCGTGAAAGTAGTTTTCCGTGATTTTTCTAGGTTTCTTTTTACATCTTCTGGTGTAAGTCATTAAATTTCTATATTTTTTTTTTTTTTTTTTTTTTTTTTTTTTTTTTTTTTTTTTTTGGGTGGGTGTGTGTGTGTGTGTATGGAAATGAAGTTAGTTTATAATTTTGTAATTAACAAATTTGTTTTTCTTGTTTTCTATTTTTTATGAAGCATATATTTGTGAATAGAGAAAACCCATTATCGAGATTTCGGCGATATAGGTAGATGCTTCTCTTTATCGCGCATCTGTGAGATTTTAAAAATTCCAATGAATTGCTACCAGACCTTTCCACCAATGAATTGCCATCAGACCTTTCTACCAAGTTGAAACTTGACTTCTTAAAACCATCTATAATCAGCGGCGGATGCAGGAATTTTCCTGAGAAGGGGCAACATTTAAAAGGCTAAAAGCCAAAAAAAATTCCCGAATTATTCGAAAGAGGATTTAGGGTTTATGGTTATACAAACATAACCAAATCAAAAAACAAAAATAATCTCTCTAAAATAAACAACAATATTAAAATACATTAAAAACAGAAGGAAAAAAAAACCAGAAGAAAAAAAAAGAAAAAAAAAAAACATTCAAACTTGGAGGAGAGGGATGGATTTGCAGCAAGACACTCAAGAGCATGCAAAGCTTTTGAAAAATCATTCAACGCAGGTATCCCTTGGTCCATTTAATTCCAACTTGGACCCCAAGAACACGCTCTTCCGTTCAGTGGAAATAAGGAATTAAAAAACAAAACAAAAGCTGCTCCAAGCGCAACATCGCAACAAAGAAAAGGAGGTTGCTGGGTTGCTGAGGCATTTATTCGAACAGGTGGTGGGCACCTCCAAGGTAGAGCTGAGGGGCAAACTCCGGCGACTTCAAAGCTTTTTCCGGCGAGGGGAGGTGCAGCTGCACCTCCTTGCGCCTCTGTGGATCCGCCAGTGTCTATAATGGATTCCTTAAACCACCTTATTAGACAAATTTTAGAAAAGAGTTGAAAAAATACAACTCCAACCATGCTCCCTATTCACTTCCTAAAATAGGAGAACCTCTAGGAGCTCCTAAATATGAGAAGAGATAAAGGACTACTAGAGGCTCCTTATAATTTAATGTTGCTTTGTTTTATGTACATTTTAAACTTTTAATTAATGCTAATTATTTTTTTGTATATATTATATATATATATAGAAATAGACCAATTAAAAAATAGTTGTAGTGCTTATGACTCCTTAAACTAGGGAGTACGATTGAAGTTCAAATTTTATAGAGAGCTCCTAAAATAGTTTTTGTGTAATTTTAGCTAAATTTTAACTAAAAAATAGGGAGCATGATTGTAGTTACTTTAAAGGCCGACTCTTATTAAATTTATACTTGCTTCCTACTCCTTTTTTTCTCCTAACAATCCCCTATCTTTCTTATAGATCTTTCTCACAAATATCCTAAAATCTAAATTAAGATTATTATTTTGTTTATAAATACTTTAGCTCTTTGTTTTTTCCTCATTAAAATATTGATTTTTTTTTCCTCTTGCCCATTCATAAACAATACTAAATTTGAATTAATTATAAATGAAATTGATGTGTATACATGCAAAGTTTGTAAATAGTGAAACTGATGTCAGTATGTAATTAGTCACACAAGCTCATCATGGAATTAAGTTTTGAGAGATTCACTATTATACTCAATATAGGGGTCTGAATTATAAAAAAAAATATATGAAATGGACTTTAGAAACACACACAAAACCTATTTACAACATAACAAAGAGGCTTCGAACTTCCTATAAATTACAAAACTGTCATCGATTTCTTAAAACAAGTTCAATCCTAAAACCTCTTTGAAAAAAAACCCAAAACAATCAATAGGGTATGAAAGTCATTTAATAATCAAACTTAAATTAATTTGTAAATTAATAAATCTAATCATACTGAATAATGGCAAGTGCCAACGTCTTAGTGGAAGTGAGCCCATTATTCTTCTATAAATGACTGATAAGCTAACAATATGAAGCCCAGGTGAAAATATGTCTACCGGCCACCTATTTCTGAAGCCTTCGATTGGTGATCAGAAGAAGCAAGGTTCTTCTGAGGATTCTAAAGCTAGCATCGACCAAGAAAACAGCAACAACTCAAGAATGAGTGCCACTCTGCAGCCCGTGAATGAGACTAGTAAGCGAAAAACAAACAAGGGCAGAAGAGGTAGTAATGGCTTCAGCATTGTTGGGAATAAAATTAAGGGGAATAAATCGGGCAAGGTAGGAGTTTTTGGGTTTGGCAACACCACCCACATCCATAAAGGCCACCACCAGGAGAAAGGAAACCAGGTCCACTCCAGTAGCGGAGAAACCGACTCGGCCTCCAGTTCTGAAGACGACGAAGCAGTATTGACTAATTAGGCCTGCTTGGTTGGTTGTACTGAACTGGACTGGACTTCTTCAATTAAAATGGACTAAAATCCAATATGGTGTTTGATCGATGAGTTTAATCTCTCCTTTTGTTTTTGTTCTTGGTAACAATCCCCTTTTTTCTCCACCTCTCTATCCTCTTCTGGCTTCATTTTTGTTGTTGTGGATTTTGGTAAATAAGTTGATCCAATTTGATCCCAGTTGTTCTGGGTAAATGAATTGTATTAAGATCAGACGTTCGATGTAAGTCTCAATCTCTTTTATTGTATTGGTTCTGTAATTTGATGCGTTTTAATTTTTAATTTTGTGTGTATTTTCTTTAAAATAATTATTTATGATATTAAATAATGAAATATACTCTAAAAAATAATTTTAAAAATCGAAATTCAAAATTAACTACTTGTTATTTTTACATTTTATTTTAACTAGTCTCTCTGCAAGCGCTTTCACGCCTGCAAGAGGTTTTTTCTTTTAAAATTAAAATTTTATTTTAGAATTAAAAATAATAATGGATAGTTGTGTTCCATAAAAATAGAATTCATTATATGATTTTTCTTTTAATTTAATTTTCTTTTCATATAAAAAGTGTGAATTTATCATATTATCCTAATTTAATTAATAATTTCAATTTTTAATATTTGCATTAATCAATGGCATTTTCTGGTATTTTGAATATTTCATCATTCTCTGCCTTTTGCTTTATTTTATTTTAATTTATTAAATAATAATTGCTATTTCTTTTATAAAATAATGTTGATTTTATTATATCAAAATCCCAAAATTTATCAATATCACATCCACCACACCACCGCATAATTATTCCTGTGACACATCGTGCCGCATGCCGCACCACCAGATTGCAAGTCATCTTTCCCTATAATTCTTGTTGCATTATATGCTTCTCAAATTTCCATGAACAAACCAACTATAGTATATATCTGCGCTTCATGTCCTACGCATTAATCCATGTGCGAATGTGAAGAGATATCTCACATTGGAGAATTAACAAATTCATCAAGAACTTATAAGGAGTTTGACTACTTCCCCTATTGTCAATTGGTTTTGAATTGGAACTTCAACTTTTTTCCTAGTATTTGAGTCAGCTTCTCGACCTGACAAACCCACAAATTCAGTTGAACCGAATTGCGTGACGGTTTTGATCTCATTACTGATCAAAGAGTTAACAGTACAACACAAAATATAACTAAATTCTTGGAGTAGTGCATAGGAGAAAAATTTGAAGTTTATGAAAATAGAATTTTGGTAGTGAAATTCTCAATTATTATCTCAATGTCAATAATGTATTATTAGTCCTATTATGATATTTTCACCGGATTCAATTCTCTTTCTGTGGATGACAACGATGCCTACTAGCGGCTCATGGATGGTAAAAATCCCTACGGAGGCGGGTCTCTGTCGGATCCTCAACCCTAATGGGAGGAGATTTCAGGGTCAAACGGGTATCGAGTATGGAGATCCCTGAACTTGAAAAATCCCCGATGGGTATTTGGAGGAGATGGTATTGGCATCCCCATCCCAGAACCCGACCCGAAAATATATATATATGTTTATATTTAAATAAATAAATATAAAATTATAATATTTATGTTTAATCCTAAGTTAACCTCTCTCTCCTAATTCTTCCTAATCTTTTCTAAAATTTCACATTGATGTGATTTTGAATAATTGAGTTGAACTTTATAGTTAATTTGGTGTGTTGAATGATAATTTAATATAAAACTTAATGTTAAAATGTATGATAAATATTTTTTATGCAAAAAAAATTGGAGATTCGGAGTGGGTATGGGAGATAGTCCCTGGATGGGAATGGGGACGGGGATTCCCCAAAACCTATTAAACTGGGATGGATTCAAGAACAGCAACAGGGATAGCGAGCGGAGACGAATATGGTATTGTCATACTCAACCTCTATCCGACCCGTTGCCATTACTCATGAGTCATGATTATATATAGGATGCTGGCAGACTCTTGAGCCCGAGTGGGCCCCTGCCAATAAAGGCTGACGACCACGTGATTTACTCTTTTCTCTCCAGAACCGCCCACGTGATTCACTTATCACCTGCCAAACCAAATATACAGGGGGCCCGCTAGCGCATAAAATTAATAAAAAACCTGATTCTTGTACTCATTCAAGATCCAAAGGCTCTGGTGATTCCAACGTTTAGTGAGAATATATCTACGGACCAGTTTGAGAACAAAGTACAATTTCATTTTTTAAACCTCTAAAAGCCTCCTTGATAAACAAATAAAAAAAATACTTCTGAATGCCTTTATTTTTTTGTCTGTCTTTTCTAAACACTTTTCTTTGCAAATGAAAGCCTCTTTTTATTTATTTATTATTTTTTTTGGGGGAAATCAATAGCTAGTTTTTATTATTATTTATTTTAAACTCTAATAACTTTTTTTAAAAATAAAATTTATCTAAACATTTTTCCCTATAATACTTTTTTTAATGCATTCAAATTCCATACAACTAACAGTCTTCACCATTCATCTTTCCTTTGCTCAAATTTCTCATTCAACGTTGTAATTCTATGTGTATTTTTCATTTATATCTATGCAATACAATGTTATTCTTAATTTTGTTCAAATTTTAAATTTTTTTCGTTTAAATGTTCATTATAAAGAAAATAAAATAACATAAACCTAAATTAACACAAATTAAAGTTAACCAAAAAAAAAGCATGTAAACTAAATTACATCATAAAAAAATATCTATAGAGCCCTCGATATAGAGCTCCTCATTATGGGAAATATATTAGGGAGTTTCACTAAAACACCCAAAATGGGGGCTGAAATTATAAAAAAACCCAACACCCAAAACACTTATAAACACACCAAAAACCCATCATTACACACACTAAAAACCCATTTATAAACACACCAAAAAAATATACAATTGTTAATTTTGGGGTTGATTTTGAGTGTGTTTCTATGTTTAAATAATGTTTTGATTTTTTTATAAATATATGTCTAAGATTAGGTTTATTTATAAATTTGTAAATATATTATTAAAGACCAAAATATTTCTTCGAGCTTTAAACGGAACTCTACCAACTATTGGGGATGGCCTAACATATAAGCCAATAAATGAAGGACCCAAAATTAAAGTGGAGAGCCTTTGCGTTAGCAATGGAGACTTAAACTAGGCAAGCATTAGGGTTGCCGGCCCCTACGCTGCACGCTCATCTTGGCCCACTACGGGGTTGAATTTCCTTTCCCTCCATACGTCCCAATCGGTATTCAATCTTTAATAATAATAACAGGGTATTCACCTTCCAGGTAGAGAGAGAGAGAGAGAGAGAGAGAGAGAGAGAGAGAGCCGGTAAAAAGGGTGGAACATGATTAGGGTGGGTGACCCTAATTTCAAAGGTGATCATCATAGTGCAAGTATAATTATTCTTCATGCCTTTAAAGCTACGGAAATCACGGTCCAGTCAATTATATTAACATGCAATTAATATCTAAAATTCTTTGACGAGTTCTTTTGTTTAATCAAATTAATGAGTTAACACCATGAGTACAAAATTAGGATGACTAATAATAATAACTAGCGTTGATGTACTAAGGCCTAGTTTGAGATTGCTGTCACTTTTAAAAAAGTTGCTTCTGCTGTGCTTTAAAAATAATTAGCTGTAAAGTAAAGCAGCTCCATGTTTGGTAAACACTATTTTTAAAGTGTTGTTAGTACAAAAAGCAGTGTTAAAACCGTTTGGTAAATTTTAATATAAAATTGTTGTAACTGTGAATAATGACTAAAATAGACATGATGTTAAAAGTGTTATGCACTAATCATGTGGTGGTAGTGGTAGTGATAGTGATGGAGTGGAGTTGGTGGTGGAGATGAAGGCGAAGTTGATGGTTGTGGTGGTGGGGATGGCAGTTGTGGAGGTGGTAGTGGTGGTGGTGGTGGTGGAGGTGGAGGTGGTGGTGGTGGTGGCGGAGGATGAGGAGGAGGAGGATGTGGTGGTTGTGGTAGTGGTGGTGGCGGTGGTTGTGGAGGTAGTAAATGTGGTGGTGCAAGTGGTGGAATTAGATGTAAAAGTGGAGGTGGTGTCATTTTTTTAAAATGAATGATGATATTTTGAGAATTAAAAAAATTCATTAAATGTTCATCTCTGCTTCTTTTGAAAGCAGCTTTGAAAAGCAACCCAGAGTCAGCTTTTAAAAACTGCTGTCAAAATGCTACTGCTTTTAAAATAATCGAGATATTTTAATTTTACCAAACACCTTAAACTGCTTAACTTTAAAGTTAAGCAGATTTTTGGCCAAAAAAAGCAATCCCAAACGGGGCCTAATATGTGTGGACTGTTAAGATTTATTTTTAGCTTTCCTTGACAACTTTGTATTTAAAGCTTTTATAAGTAATGAATTATGCTCAGTAATCTTGGCTTGGTTTAAGTATTATCACAAGAAGTCTTCTGCAATCAAGATGGAATCTGTGTGTGTGGAAGCATTCAGATGGTAAGTTATTCATGCATTTCATTCATTTTGCATTTAGCATTTCGAAATGTTTGAAACACGTTTTCTTCTGTCATTTAGATGACCTGTCATATGCTGTGGTTCATTCTGCTTTTTCTTGCCAGAAACTGATCCACGTGATTTTCACATGGTTTTCATTTTTGTCCTCTTGTGAATACCATGATTGGCTGGCAGCTGCATTGAAGTTTCCTCTTTTTAAAATCTGCTGGTCTTTTCCTTCTTGAGTCTGCATTCAGATCTAGAATCTCACACACACACACACATACATACATATATATATATATATATATATAGATTTAGATGAGATTCTTTCATTAGTTTCTTCAAGGATTGTCTCTTGAAGGAACTGAGTTTCAAATTACATAATCTACATTTCATCATCTCATTCTCTGCATTCTTCTGAGCTCCTGAAGTCGTGAGGTGAAGGAGCCGAGGATATAGCTGCAACTTTCATGAGGGACTTGAGCTGACATCCTGAGCTGAAGAAAAGGATTGCATAGAGAGGTATAGCTGCTCCTTAATAGATCTAGAAATTCTAAGCTAGTACTTGTACTTTCTATACGAATTCTTATTCTCTTAGTGGATTGCCTAGTCGGATGATCACCCTCAATTTTTTCCAATGGTGAGTTTCTGGGTGAACATGTCTGTTTGTTGATTCTATGACTTTGACTAATCATCTCTTATTATTATTCATAATTCTGATTTAATGGATTCTCACACACATAACACCATAGTTGTTGTTAGCATAAGAGATGCCTAGATTGACGAGTCTTTCTGAGTGTCTAGGTTGTCGCATAAATACTGATTTTAGACTGAAACATCATGACGATGTTAACAGAATCCGCCCCCGAAGTTCCCCTTAGAACCCGTGACAAACCCTGTTGCCCGTCTGGCATCTAACCAAAGGCAGACCTAAGCCTAGGCTGGAGTGGGTTCCAGCCTAGGAGAACATTTATGAAATATTATACATGGTCTTATTATTATAGATTTATTCTTAGTCAAATAAATATTAGCCCATTGCACCAAATAAATATAGCCCAAAACATGCATTATTTTTCTTTTTTTTAAATAAATTAATAATAGCCCAATCTAAGTAAAGTAAATAATAGCTCAGTCCTCTATTTAAAATAAGCCCACTCTTGAAGCATATAGGAAATAATAAACGTCAATCCAATCCAAACCTAAATAAAATTGATTAGAAGCATAACTCAGGCTGAGGCTCTACCAACTTGAGCTATTCTAATCGTACTGATATTGGGCTACACCCACATAAAGCAAACATCAAAAAATTTCTTCTAGCCACCCAAAATGCCATATTTGAACCTTGAGAGCCTAGAGGAAATAGCTCTCCTCCTCTAAAAAATTGTACCAACCTATCTTGAGTGGGTTCTTCAATCTTGGTGAGTTTATTTATTTATTTATTATATATATATATATATATATATACACACACAGAGAGCTTCCATTGAAGGATTCCTCAAATAAGCTTATTTGAGGGACACCCTTTATAGGGCCCGTTTCGGATTGTATTTCACTAATCCAAACCGTCTATTTTGTAGATACTCATCCAAACCCTAGATAAACACCTTTATGACCCTAGTAATAAAAGCAGAAGAGATATATATCACCAAATTATTCCTGATAAAAATGTGAGACAGGAAATATTTAATGAATGGAAAAATTATATGCGTTATGAGAAAATGGAAATTTACTATCTTGATTTTGTAGAAAGCGGTTACATTCCCAATGAGTTAAAAACTTTGACTAAAGAAAAATGGATAAAATTAGACAAATATGAGATTATGTCTAGTCACCCTCCAATAGAAACTATTATTATTAAACATGGAACGAGAAGTGTAGTTGCAAGCCCTTTTAAGATGACTGATCCAGCCGATGAGCCCAATAAGCGATTAGTTGAACAAAATAATTATACTAACCAAAGCCTAGTTATAGTAGGAAAACAATTAGATAAAATAGAAAATAAAGTTGATAAATTATTTCCTCCCGAACCTAAGCTTAAAACAAAAGACAAACCTCTAGTCCAGTTTCAGGAACTACAGTCTAAATTCTCTCTTAAGACGTCGTCCACAATGAAAAAGATAGAAAGCATGCTTGAACAGTTAACTCCCGAAAAAGCTGAGAAATCTGGTCTTAAAGTCATAGAATCTTCTTTTACCAACCAGTCAACAACTGATTCTGAATCAAATACATAGTCTATTGAATCGAGCAATATTTCAAAAATTGAAAATACTTTTAGAAACTTAGAATTAGAATATGAATTAAAATTAAAAAGACTAACTAATAAAATTAATCCCACTAGTCTAACTAGAAATTGGTACCCTAAGCCTACACCGCCTGATATTTAGTTCGAAGAAAGGAACAATCTAAGCCAATTCTCTGTTTCTTCTGATAAATTGTATGAATGGAATATAGATGGTTTATCTGAACAAGAAATAATGAATAAATTAACCCACATGTCCATGGTAGCTAATAGTTATATTACTAATCATAACTTACGACAATCTGAAATAGTCCTTTTGTTAGAAACCGGTTTTACAGGAACCTTAAGATCCCTAAATCAGATATTATTCCCCTGCAAATTACTGATCTAATTACATATTTCTCTACAAAAGTTAAAATTCCTGAGCGTGATTTTTTTTTCAATTCCTCAACTTTTCTTTACTCGCTATAAGATTCCCTGGATTATGAAATGGTCTTACAATGTCAATTGGGAAACCCAGATTTTTTCTCAACAGTTCTCTGTTAAGTGGTGGGATCGTTTTGAAATCCACCATATCTCTGAATCCGTGTATTGAGATTTTCCTCAAACTACATTTCCTAAACATGAGCCTGAGCCTACTTCTCCTCATTCTTCCCAAACCACCCTCTCTGTTGAAGGTAAATCTAAAACTCCTGATTTTACTCATTCCTGGTTCATCAATTTTGACAGTAAGTTTCGTAGTGAACTCCCTTACTGGTTCCTCCATTGGTGGGATACACATGGTCCTAAATTAGATATTATTCCCCTGCAAATTACTGATATAATTACATATTTCTCTACAAAAGTTAAAATTCCTGAGCGTGATTTATTTTTTTCAATTCCTCAACTTTTCTTTACTCGCTATAAGATTCCCTGGATTATGAAATGGTCGTACAATGTCAATTGGGAAACCCGGATTTTTTCTCGGCAGTTCTCTGTTAAGTGGTGGGATCATTTTGAAATCCACCGTATCTCTGAATCCGTGTATCGAGATTTTCCTCAAACTACATTTCCTAAACATGAGCCTGAGCCTACTTCTCCTCATTCTTCCCAGACCACCTCTCTGTTGAAGGTAAATCTAAAACTGAATTACAAGATATGGCCAAGCAGCTCCTACTCCAAGCCTCCCAAATGCAAGATGATGAAGACAATGAGTCTCAATCCTCTTCAAGCTGTCAACCTCGTCAACAGAGTCCAAGCCCTGATCGCCCTATGAGATGGTCTGACTATCCCCATAGTCAAGACCCTAACAATGCTTATGCCACCTATGAGCTGAATTCAGATTGAGATCCCCTATCATGATGACTGAGTTAAAGCAGCAGACAAAATTGAAAGTTGAATCAGTAAAAGCAGATTCCCCTGAGTAAAAGCATAAAGAGCCTGAGTAAAAACCAGTCAAAAGCCATACAGTTCCTTACTCGTGAGCCATACAGTTCTTTGCCTGTGATCATAAGAAAGCTACTCGAGTAGTTGCTCAAACTACAAGAGTTTGTTCTAAAGAGGCGACTCATTTTGCTCAAGTGTATGGATTGGAAGAATGAAGAGGAAGATAAATAGTAACTTCTTAACTAAACTATTTATCCTACAAGAGACCTATCGGTACTCTCCCTAACTCTCTGTCTCCTGCCCACCGCTCGTGCCACACCCTGGGACTTATCGTTTGGAAAAAGGACTCATGGGTCAGACCTTAAGGGAGAAAACCAAGAAGTACCTTGAAGAATAAAAGAAAGAAAAGAAGAAACTAAAAACTTCAACTCAGAAATCCTAAACCAGCCACTTGGGTTGGATGAGTTGCAACTTAGACTCAAACTCTTACAACTCTTACAGCTCTGATACCAAAAGGGGCCTAGAACCAGAAGGGATGAGTATAGATAGTAATGAAACAGACATAATAGAAAAGGCACAATTTATGCATGAATCTTATTAATGAAAAATGTATAAACATAATGTTATGTTAAAATACTCAAAATACTTTATTAAAACATAAGCTTATGAGAATGTTGGCTTACAAGAATAGTTCCTAGCTTCGCTCACACTTAGCTGTTCTTTAGATCATTGTTTCTGAGAGAACAATTTGAAACTGAGAAACTAAACTTTTACATTCTTATTACAAATGAGGCTAAAGCCTTCTTAAATAGATAAGAACTAAACTTTAGTAAACTAAAAAGTAACTCAGGTAAATTAAAGTAACTCGAGTAGCTTTCTTATGATCACAAGCAAAGAACTGTATGGCTCACGAGCAAGGAACTGTATGGCTTTTGACCAGTTTTTACTCAGGCTCTTTATACTTTTACTCAGGCTCTTTATGCTTTTACTCAGGGGAATCTGCTTTTACTGATTCAACTTTCAATTTTGTCTGCTGCTTTAACTCAGTCATCATGATAGGGGATCTCAATCTGAATTCAGCTCATAGGTGGCATAAGCATTGTTAGGGTCTTGACTATGGGGATAGTCAGACCATCTCATAGGGCGATCAGGGCTTGGACTCTGTTGACGAGGTTGACAGCTTGAAGAGGATTGAGACTCATTGTCTTCATCATCTTGCATTTGGGAGGCTTGGAGTAGGAGCTGCTTGGCCATATCTTGTAATTCAGTTTTAGATTTACCTTCAACAGAGAGGTGGTCTGGGAAGAATGAGGAGAAGTAGGCTCAGGCTCATGTTTAGGAAATGTAGTTTGAGGAAAATCTCGATACACGGATTCAGAGATACGGTGGATTTCAAAATGATCCCACCACTTAACAGAGAACTGCCGAGAAAAAATCCGGGTTTCCCAATTGACATTGTACGACCATTTCATAATCCAGGGAATCTTATAGCGAGTAAAGAAAAGTTGAGGAATTGAAAAAAATAAATCACGCTCAGGAATTTTAACTTTTGTAGAGAAATATGTAATTAGATCAGTAATTTGCAGGGGAATAATATTTGATTTAGGACCATGTGTATCCACCAATGGAGGAACCAGTAAGGGAAGTTCACTACGAAACTTACTGTCAAATAGAAACCTTGTTCATTAAATAATTGATCATTTTATTGGTCTAGACCTATTTAATCAGACACGTTCCTTTTGGTATCAGAGCCGTAAGAGTTGAAGAGTTTGTCTAAGTCTGCTACTTATCTCCGCCCAAGTGGCTGGTTTAAGCTTATGAGTAGAAGTTTTCAGTTCCTTCTTCTTCTTTCTTTTATTCTCTGAGTTGTCTGTTGGTTTTCTCTCTTGGTGTCCAAACAGTGAGTCCTTTTTCCAAATAGTAAGTCCCCAATGTAGAGGGCCTAAGCGGTGGGCGTGAGCGGAGGGAGAGAGAGTCAATAGGTTTCTTGTAGAGTAAAAGGTCAGTTTTAGGAGTCCCTGTTTATCTTCTTCCTTAGAAGTCTAGTCCAAACACTTGAGTAGTCATGAGTCATTTATTTATAACAAATTCTTGTAATTCAAGCAGTTCTAAAGCCAGTATAAGTCGTTTACCAGAGATAGTTAATGAAGAACAAATAGAATATGAGTCTAATAGTGAGTTGAATTATAAAGATTGGAATATACCTAGAGTCCCCAGTCAGGACATCTATAATAAAAATGGAGTCTGTCTAGTTTCAAGTCAACAACCCATATCAAAACAGTTGAACAAGTTTATGCCCTAAGTAAAGAACACGAAACGTGTCAGTTGCTTAATCTTGAGTCAATTAGAAAACATAAAAATGATGGAAAAAATTTCCTTCATATTGGTCTAGTCCAAGTTGCTGTTAAACCCCTTACCAGATTAGGATTAAAGCCTCAATCTGTCTATGTTTAAGAGATGCTAGATTCACCAGTTTTAGCAACAGTACGCTAGGATTAATTGAGTCAAGCCTTTGTAATGGTCCTGTTCACTTTGATTACTACCCAGACTTCACGGTTAGCCTTAGTGATCCTCATATTTTGAAGACATTAACTCTAAATATTAAAACTGATGGTTATCATGTCCTCCCAGGAATGCAACCATTAGCTTTAGTATATAGAATTTATTATAAAGTCACAGGCACTAATATGAATTTCCAAGCCCTTAAGAAGAGTCCAAAAGATTAGACTTTGTTAATATAGAGTAGTCGTCCCGAGGCCAACATACGAGTACCTCACACCATCAAATGGTCAGATATTACCCTTCCCCCAGAATGGACACTCACCACTGAATGTCATCCAACCCCAGTTCAACATAATCTAAACAATTTAGATTATATCCAGCAATACCTAGATGGCACAGTCAAAATTAGTTTTGGAAATCAACCTCCACCTAAGTCCACAATCCAATTATATCAGTTGCCTACCCCTGGTCAATCCCAGAGGCACATTCCTGCAAGGCATTCCTTTGCAGCCTCATCCTCAACTCTAGAACGAGACCTATAGTTAGAAAAAACCATGATAAATTTTAAATTAGAATCTTTAAGAAAGTCTTCCCAGGTTAATCAACCCTGTTATGGTAAAATACCTGTCAAGGAAGATAAATCTGAGTCACCCGAGTCACCTATGCAAACTGATTTTGAAGCCGATAATTTTGCAGTTAATAATAATCAATTAAGAACGCTAAATAGAAAATTTGTAATTAATTGGAAAGCTTTAGATTGTCATCTTAAGGCCCCAGAAAACCAAAGTAGAAGAGACAGTTATCACCAAGCCTACCCTGATAAAGAAAGCCGCCAACAAATCTTTAATGAATGGAAAGATTATATGCGGTCAGCCAAAGTTGAAATTTTCTACCTTGATTTTATTGAGAGCCGATATATGTCTAATGAGTTAAAAACTTTAACTAAAGAAAAATGGAAATTGTTAGGAAATACAGAAGTAGAATCAAGTCATCCCCCAGTAGAAACGATTATATTTGAACACTTTAATACCCAGATCCATGCAAGTCCTTTCAAAGCCCTTGAGAAGAATGATCCAGATAAAAGGCTAGTAGAACAAAATAATTATACCAACCAAAGTCTAATTGTCATAGGAAAACAGTTGGATAAAATCAAAACAAAAGTTGATAAACTAGTTCCCCAGGATAACAAAGCCAAAGCCAAAGTTGAAAAACCATTAGTACAATTTCAGGATCTTAAGTCAAGTCCTACCCTTAAGATCAAGCCAACAATGAAAAAATTGAAGAAATGCTAGAACAGTTGACACCAATTAAACCTGAAAAATCTAGTCTTAAAACACTAGATTCTTTTGCAGGCGCGAACCCCTCTGAGTCCGATTTCGAGTCAATAGTCAGTATAGAATCAGAAACTAGTAATATTTCAAAAATTGAGAATGCTTTTAAAAATCTGGAATTAGAAGTTGAACCTAGGGTCAAACGGTTAAATAGCCGAGTTAGCCCTACCAGTCTCACCAAGAATTGGTATCCCTGACCTACACCCCCAGACATTCAATTTGAAGAACGGAACTTCCAAAGCCAGTTTTTAGTTTCTTCTGATAAATTGTATGAATGGACTATTGAAGGTCTGTCTGAGTAAGAAATTTTTAATAAGCTTCAACATATGTCCATGGTTGCCAATAGTTATGTCACCAACCACAGTTTTAGGCAGTCTGAAATAGTGCCTTTACTTGTAACCGGTTTTACTGGAACTCTCCATTATTGGTGGGATAAGCACTTAACCACAGAGTCAAAAACTTAATAATTCATGCAGTCAAGCTTAATGAAGAAGGTCTCCCTATATTTGACGAACAAATAGGTATAAAAGATGGAGTCAACACTTTATTTTACACAATAATTGATCATTTTATTGGAACCCTAGTAATACCACCGCTAGAATTCATGATCAACTTAGCAATCTCCGTTGTCCTAAGTTATATGATTTTAGATGGTATAAAGATGTTTTCATTTCCCGAGTCATGCTAAGAGATGATAGTAATCAGCCGTTTTGGAAAGAAAAATTTGTTAATGGTCTTCCAAACCTGTTTGCTCACAAAATTCGCACAACCCTTAGTAATGAACAAGGTCAAATTGATTGGAATAGTTTAACCTATGGTAATATAATAAGCACGATTAATCAAGTTGGTATGAAAATGTGTGTTGATTTTAAAATTGATAGACATATACAGTCCGACAGAAAATCAGCTAAATATGAGCTAGGAAATTTCTGTGAACAATACGGTCAAACCAGTCTTCCCCCTTCCCGAAAGGATAAGTGTAGTTACCCTAGTCACATTAGGAAAAGTCGTCATTATTCGCGTAGGAAACAATCATTCCGACACGATAATGAAAATAATGAGTTTTATAGGAAAAAGAAATTTCACCCTAGGAAAAGGTGGTCAAAAGCACCAAAAAATGAAAAGAACAGTCGCTTTAGGAAAAATTCCAACACAAGAAAAGTTAAATGTTATAAATGTCAAAAGTTTGGTCACTATGCTAATGAGTGCAAAGTGAAAGATACTATTAAACAGTTGAAAATTACAGATGAAGATAAAGAAAAGTTTATTAAAGTTTTAGAGTTAAAGAATTCTGAGTCAAGTGAAAACGAATCCATAATTGCCAGTTCTGAGTCCGAAACCTACCAGTCTTTGAACTCTCGGTCTAGTTCTCCTCAAATCCAGATTGGTTGTACAGATAAATGTTGTAATAGGATAAAATCTATTTCTGTCCATACCAAACAGGAAGAACAAGAAGAATTGCTAATTGATGTAATTAGTAAAGTCGAAAACCCAGAGTTGAACTATGAGTACTTAAAGAAGTTGAGAAAAGTCATCAGTCAAGAAAGTCCGTGTAAGTCTGTTCCTCAACCGATTGGTCTAAATACAAATTTAGAAAAGTTTAATCGGAAAAAGGATGTAACTATACAAGACCTACAGTTAGAAATTAAATTAGTCAAAAAGAAATAGTTGGATTAAAACAGATCAATCACCAGTTGCAAGCCGAGAATTATGCGATTAAACAAGATTTAATTAACTTAATGGAAAAAGAAAGTTCTGAGTCCAGGAGTTAGCCAGAGAGTCCTGATAACTCCGACGGTGAACCTTCTAATAAAGAACAAGCCGTCAATCTGATAAAACAAGTTGATTTTAGAAAATGTTATTCAAAAGTTACAATATTTGTCAAAAATTTTGAGTTCAACACAGTTGCCTTATTGGATTCCGGAGCCGATCTTAACTGTATTCAGGAAGGTCTAATCCATACTAAGTTTTACAAGAAGTCTAAAGAGTCCTTAAGCACTGCTTCAGGAATATCGCTCCAGTTAAATTACGAAATCCCTAAAGCCCATGTCTGCCAAAATAAGATTTGTTTTAAAACTTCATTCGTCCTAGTTAAGAATATTACTGATGAGGTCATCTTAGGATTACCTTTTATTGCCTTATTGTATCCTTTCCAGGTGGAATACGATGGTGTCATCTCTGCCGATTTAGGAGAATAGGTTAAGTTTGAGTTTCTGTCGAAACCTGAGTTGCATAATTTAGAAGACCTTCAAAAGAGTTTAGTCTCCGAAATAGTCAAAGTAATTCATAATAAAAATAACCAGTTGAATTTCTTAAAGAAGAAGTCAAATTCAAAAGAGTTGAACAACAGCTTAGTGATAAGTCTTTACAGTTGCAAATCCAACAATTTGAAAATAAGTTGAAAAATGAAATTTTTTCTGATTTGCCTAATGCTTTTTGGTATAGGAAACAGCATGTGGTTAGTCTTCCTTATGTCAAATCCTTTAGTGAGAAAAATGTCCCCACTAAAGCCATGCCAATACAAATGAGTCAAGAAATAATGGAGTTATGTGAAAATGAAATAACTGAGTTGCTTCAAAAAGGTATAATTCGTAAGAGTAAGTCACCTTGGTCTTGTCCTGCTTTCTATGTCCAAAAAAATGCTGAGTTAGAAAGAGGAGTCCCAAGATTAGTTATTAATTATAAGCCCCTTAATTCAGTCTTAGAATGGATTAGATATCCCATACCTAATAAACGAGACTTAATTAATAGATTAGAAAAATCAGTTGTCTTCTCTAAGTTTGATATGAAGAGTGGTTTCTGGCAAATCCAAATAAATGAGTCACATAGGTATAAGACTACATTTGTCACTCATTTTGGTAATTATGAATGGAATGTATTGCCGTTTGGTCTGAAAAATGCGCCTAGTGAGTTTCATAATATAATGAATGAGATTTTTAATCCCTTTAGTCATTTTTCAATTGTCTATATTGATGATGTTCTAATCTTTTCTCAGTCTTTAGAACAACATTGGAAGCATTTGCATAAGTTCCTCCAGATTGTCAAATCCAATGGTCTAGTTGTTTCAGCTAAGAAAATCAAGTCGTTTCAAACTAATGTCAGATTTCTTGGTTTTAATATATGCCAGTCACGGATTTTACTAATTGATCGAGTCATTCAGTATGCTGATAAGTTTCTTGATCAAATTCTTGACAAGAGTCAGCTTCAGAGGTTTTTAGGATCTCTAAATTATGTGTCTGATTTTTATCAAAATTTGAGAAAACAGTGTAAGCCTTTGTTTGATAGGTTGCAGAGTAATCCTCCTCCTTGGTCGTCTGTTCACACTGAAATTGTCACACAAATCAAGGTTCATCTCAAGACACTTCCCTGTCTTGGTATTCCTTCAGTCGATTCTTTTAAAATAGTTGAAACAGATGCCTCTGACATTGGTTATGGTGGCATTCTCAAACAAAGAGTCAGTCCATATCAACCAAAACAAATCATTCGTTTCCATTATGGCATTTAGACCCAATCACAATATAACTGTAGTACTATTAAGAAAGAAATATTATCTATAGTACTATGCATATCAAAGTTTCAAGATGATTTGCTTAATCAAAAATTTTTAGTACGAGTTGATTGCAAATCTGCAAAACATGTTTTAGAAAAAGATGTTCAAAACATTGCATCTAAACAGATTTTTGCACGTTGGCAAATTATTCTAAGTATATTTGATTTTGAAATTGAGTATTTGAGAGGAAATCAGAATTCAATCCCTGATTTTCTTACTTAAGAATTCCTACAGGATGCACAATGGCCCCTAAGAAAGACAAGTAGAAAGAGTTGATCCCCAGTCAGTCCAGTCAGCCAAAGACATCCCATCCTCCATGAGCAAAACAGAGTCGCCACAACAGTTAGTCCCTTTCCCGGGACACTCCCCAATTGCAGTTTCCACTCCATTATCAGTTTCTAATAGATTTTCTAGCATAGGTTCTACAGTCGGCCAAATTCGCCCTAGTTACCAGTTGACTGTATGCAGTTATGATCCTTTCTCAGTTTGCCCTTCAGTTGCCCCAGCATCTTTTAAAAAAATTGTCTCCTTATTTGCCCAAGAGTAATTCTCATTTGTTCATCCTTGAGCCAATCTATGATTGTCATTCTGATCCAGTTGCTATAGCTAAAGACTACTTCCCTCTGGGATTTCACTATATGCCTCCAAGTCCCTATAAGTCTCTCAAATACTATAGAGATATCTTAATTGAAACCCAATCAGTTGAAATCAAGCCGATAAGGGATCGTGACCATCCTGAGATCATTCTTTATCATTCTATGTATATCTACAAAATCCTGCGTCAAGAATCATTCAGCAGTAATCCCTACGAGTTGAAAATCCTGCAGTCGAAATTACAATATAATTATTCTGATTATATTGAAGCCTGGTATTCTATTTTCCTCCATCAATCTGAGGATTTTAGACACTCCTGGTTTATTAATTTTGACAACAAATTCAAAAGCTCTTTTCCCTACTGGTTCCTTCACTGGTGGGAAAAACATGGTCCAGTTGATGAAATCCTATCCGTCCAAATTCACGAGTTGATATGTTATTTTACTCAAAAGGCCAAATTCTCTAAGTTAGATTTGTTCTTCCCAAAACAGTTGCTTTTCATTGCCAGATATAAAGTCCCCTGGATCCTGAAATGGTCCTACAAAGTTACCAAAGATACCAGAGTGTTTGCCCGCCAGTATTCTGTTAAGTGGTGGGATAAATTTGAAGTTGATAGTATTGCCAAATATGTCTACAATGATTTTCCTCAAGTTGCAGTTCCTCCTAATCCTCAGCCAACATCTTCTACTGGTTCTACCAGATCTTCTCTCTCAATCGAGGGAAAATCAAAAGCTGAACTACAGGAAATTGCCCGACAGTTGATTATTCAAGCCTCACAAATGAATGATGATGAGGACAATGATTCCCAGTCGTCATCCAGCTGTCTTCCCATGCAGAGTCCTGCCAAACCCAAGCGGTGGGCAAATTATGAAGATTCTCAAGACCCATATGCCGCCTATGATTTGAATTCTGATTAGGCAAAAGTTGCAAACATCATAATTGCCTAGGAGAAAGTAAAAGTTAAAGCATCTAGTAAAAGCAATCAAAAGCTTTCGCATGCTTCTACAGTTATTATTCTCAGACATTTCACTCAAGTAAAAGCAAAAGTCCCCAGCAGATTAGTCACCCGTGCTTCTACAGTCAGAGCATCCAAAGTAACTATAGTTGCTTTTATCAACCTGAGTTATTGAATCAGAGTTAGTTTTCTTTTATTTAAGAAGGCTTCAACCTCAGTTGTAAGTAGGCTACATTTTCACGAGTTTTTTTTTTTTCAGTTTCAAAGTTTTCTATGAGATTCCCTCTAAGAAAACTCTCATTGTAAATGACGAGTGCTATGTATCTTCCTCACTAGGAGCTTCCAGTAAAAGCTTTCTGTGAGTATAAATAAATAAAAGTTGTATTTTCAGTTATCCCTATTTTGAGTACTTCCATCTAAGCATTAATTTGAAGTATCATCATGTTCTTATTTCCATGCTTATATTTTGAGTACTCGTGAAAATGTAGCCTGATTACAACTGAGGCCGAAGCCTGCTTAAATAAACGGAGACAACCATGGTTAGTCAACTAGAGGAAACAAAAGCAACTATGGTAGCATTGGATGCTCTGACTGTAGAGACACAAGAGACTGAACTTCTGTTTCACCTGGCAACTTTTACTTTTACTTAAGTGAACTGTCGGAGAATAATGACTGTAGAAGCATGCGAAAGCTTTGGACTGCTTTTACTGAATGCTTTAACTTTCATTTTCTCCTAGGCGACAACTTTAGTTTGATGACTGCTTGCGACCCTTTGGCGTAATCAGAATTCAATTCATAGGCGGCATAGGGGTCTTGACTGTCTTCATAATCAGCCCACCGACATGGTTTGGAAGGACTTGGATTAGGAAGACAGCTGGATGACGATTGAGACTTAGGGGAATCATTGTCCTTATCATCATTCATCTTAGAGGCTTGAATAATCAACTGGCGAGCAATTTCATGTAATTCAGCTTTTGATTTTCCCTCGATTGAGAGAGAAGATCGAGTAGAACCAACAGGAGAATTTGGCTGGGGCTTAGGAGGAACTGCAACTTGGGGGAAGTCATTGTAAACATATTTGGCAATTCGGTCAACTTCAAATTTGTCCCAACACTTAATAGAGAATTGACGGGCAAAAACTCTGGTGTCATTAGTGATATTGTATGACCATTTTAGGATCCAAGGGGCCTTATATCTGGCAATGAAAAGCAACTGTTTTGGGAAGAACAAATTTGACTTAGAGAATTTGGCCTTCTGAGTAAAATAACGGATCAAATCATGAATTTGGACGAATAGGATTTCATCAACTGGACCATGTTTTTCCCACTAGTGAAGGAACCAGTAGGGAAAAGAGCTTTTGAATTTGTTGTCAAAATTAATAAACCAGAAGTGACTAAAATCCTCAGATTGATGGAGGAAAATAGAATAACAGGCTTCAATATAATCAGAATAATTATATTGTAATTTCGACTGCAGGGTTTTCAACTCGTAGGGATGACTGCTGAATGATTCTTGACTCAGTATTTTGTGGATATACATAGAATGATAAAGTATGATCTCAGGATGGTCACGATCCCTTATCGGCTTGATTTCAACTGATTGGGTTTCAATTAAGATATCTCTATAGTATTTGAGAGACTTATAGGGACTTGGAAGCATATAGTGAAATCTCAGAGGGAAGTAGTGTTTAGCTATAGCAACTAGATCAGAATGACAATCATAGATTGGCTCAAGGATGAACAAATGAGAATTACTCTTGGGCAAATAAGGAGACAATTTTTTAAAAGATGTCGGGGCAACTGAAGGGCCAACTGAGAAAGGATCATAACTGGAGACTAAAGTAGACTGGTAACTAGGGCGAATTTGGCCGACTGTAGAACCTAGGCTAGAAAATCTATTAGCAACTGATAATGGAGTGGCAATTGCAATTGGGGAGTGTCCCAGGAAAGGTACTAACTATTGTGGCGACTCTGTTTTGCTCATTGAGGATGGGAGGACTCGGAGCGACTGGGATGTCTTTGGCTGACTGGACTGACTGGGGATCGACTCTTTATGCTTGTCTTTCTTAGGGGTCATTGTGCATCCTGTTAAGTAAGAAAATCAGGGATTGAATTCTGACTTCCTCCCAAATACTCAATTTCAAAATCAAATATACTTAGAATACTTTGCCAACGTGCAAAAATCTGTTTAGATGCAATGTTTTGAACATCTTTTTCTAAAACATGTTTTGCAGATTTGCAATCAACTCGTACTAAAATTTTTTTGATTAAGCAAATCATCTTGAAACTTTGATATGCATAGTACTATAGATAATATTTCTTTCTTAATAGTACTACAGTTATATTGTGATTGGGTCTAAATGCCATAATGGAAACGAATGATTTGTTTTGGTTGATATGGACTGACTCTTTGTTTGAGAATGCCACCATAACCGATGTCAGAGGCATCTGTTTCAACTATTTTAAAAGAATCGATTGAAGGAATACCAAGACAGGGAAGTGTCTTGACATGAACCTTGATTTGTTTGACAATTTCAGTGTGAGCAGACGACCAAGGAGGAGGATTACTCTGCAACCTATCAAACAAAGGCTTACACTGTTTTCTCAAATTTTGATAAAAATCAGACACACAATTTAGAGATCCTAAAAACCTCTGAAGCTGACTCTTGTCAAGAATTTGATCAGTAAACTTATCAGCAAACTGAATGACTCGATCAATTGGTGAAATCTGTGACTGGCAGATATTAAAACCAAGAAATCTGACATTAGTTTGAAACAACTTGATTTTCTTAGCTGAAACAACTAGACCATTGGATTTAACAATCTGGAGGAACTTATGCAATCTGAAGACTGGAAAAGATTAGAACATCATCAATATAGACAATTGAGAAATGGCTGAAGGGATTAAAAATCTCATTCATTATATTCTGAAACTCACTAGGCGCATTTTTCAGACCAAACGACATTACATTCCATTCATAATGACCAAAAGGAGTGACAAATGCAGTCTTATACCTATCTGACTCATCTATTTAGATTTGCTAGAAACCACTCTTCATATCAAACTTAGAGAAGACAACTGCTTTTTCTAATCTATTAATTAAGTCTCGTTTATTAGGTATGGGATACCTAATCTATTCTAAGACTGAATTAATGGGCTTATAATTAATAACTAATCTTGGGACTCATCTTTCTAACTCAGCATTTATCTGGACATTGAAAGCAGGACAAGACCAAGGTGACTTACTCTTACGAATTATACCCTTTTGAAGCAACTCAGTTATTTCATTTTTATAAAACTCCATTATTTCTTGACTCATTTTTATTGGCCTGGCTTTAGTGGGGATGTTTTTCTCACTAAAGGATTTGACATAAGGAAGACTAACCACATTCCTATACCGAAAAGCATTAGGCAAATCAGAAAAAATTTCATTTTTCAACTTATTTTCAAATTGTTGGATTTGCAACTGTAAAGACTTATCACTAAGCTGTTGTTCAACTCTTTTGAATTTGACTTCTTCTTTAAGAAATTCAACTGGTTATTTTTGTTATGAATTACTTTGACTGTTTTGGAGACTGAACTCTTTTGAAGGGCTTTTAAATTATGCAACCCAGGTTTCGACAGAAACTCGAACTTAACCTTTTCTCCTAAATGGGTAGAGATGACACCATCGTATTCTATTTGGGAAGGATACAATAAGGCAATAAAAGGTAATCCTAAGATGACCTCATCAATAATATTCTTAACTAGGACGAATGAAGATTTAAAACAAATCTTATTTTGGCAAACATGGGCTTTGGGGATTTCGTAATTTAACTAGGACGCATAATTCTCGGCTTGCAACTGGTGACTGATCTGTTTTAATCCAACTATTTCTTTTTTGATTAATTTAATTTCTAACTGTAGGTCTTGCATAGTTACATCCTTTTTCTGATTAAACTTTTCTAAATTTGTATTTAGACTAATCGGTTGAGGAACAGACTTACACGGACTTTATTGACTGATGACTTTTCTCAACTTCTTTAAGTACTCAGATTTCAACTCTGGGTTTTCGACTTTACTAATTAAATCAATTAGCAATTCTTCTTGTTCTTCTTGTTTGGTAAGGACATAAATATATTTTATCCTATTACAACATTTATCTGTACAACCAATTTGGATTTAAGGAGGACTAGACTGAGAGTTCAAAGACTGGTAGGTTTCGGACTCAGAACTGGCAATTATGGATTCGTTTTCACTTGACTCAGAATTCTTTAACTCTAAAACTTTAATAAACTTTTCTTTATCTTCATCTGTAATTTTCAACTGTTTAATAGTATCTTTCACTTTGCACTCATTAGCATAGTGACCAAACTTTTGACATTTATAACATTTAACTTTTCTTGTGTCGGAATTTTTCCTAAAGCGACTGTTCTTTTCATTTTTTGGTGCTTTTGACCACCTTTTCCTAGGGTGAAATTTCTTTTTCCTATAAAACTCATTATTTTCATTATCGTGTCGGAATGATTGTTTCCTACGCGAATAATGACGACTTTTCCTAATGTGACTAGGGTAACTAGACTTATCCTTTCGGGAAGCGGGAATACTGGTTTGACCATATTGTTCACAGAAATTTCCTAGCTCATATTTAGCTAATTTTCTGTCGAATTGTATCTGTCTATCAATTTTAAAATCAACACACATTTTCATACCAACTTGATTAATTGTGCTTATTATATTACCATAGGTTAAACTATTCCAATCAATTTGACCTTGTTCATTACTAAGGGTTGTGCGAATTTTGTGAGCAAACAGGTTTGGAAGACCATTAACAAATTTTTCTTTTCAAAACGGTTGATTACTATCATCTCTTAGCATGACTCGGGAAATGAAAACATCTTTATACCATCTAAAATCAGACAACTTAGGACAACGGAGATTGCTAAGTTGATCATGAATTCTAGCAGTGGTATTACTAGGGGTTCCAATAAAATGATCAATTATTGTGTAAGGACTGTTCGTATTTTATGGTCAAATAGATTAGGGAGACTGTTAAGCATGACTCCAGAAATAAAAACATCTTTATACCATCTAAAATCGCTTAATTTTGGACATCGAAGGTTATTGAGTTGATCATGGATTCTAGCTGTTATGTTACTAGGTGTTCCTATGAAATGTTCAATTATTGTGTATAACAAAGTGTTGACTCCTTCTTCTATCCCTCTACCTAATTGTTCGTCAAAAATAGGGAGACCTTCTTCATTTAGTTTGACTGCATGTATGATTTGTCGTTTTGACTCTTCAGTTAAATGTTTATCCCACCAAGAACATAAGGTTCCGGTGAATCCCGTCTCTAGAAGGGGAACAATTTCTGATCGTCTAAAACTGTGATTGGTTATGTAACTGTTGGCTATCATAGACAGATGTTGTAACTTGTTTAGGATTTCTTGTTCTGACAGACCATCTATATTCCATTTATAAAGCTTATCAGAGGAGACTGAGAACTGAATTTGCGAGTTTCTTTCTTCAAAATGAATATCTGGAGGGGTTGGCCTGGGATACCAATTTTTGGTTAGGCTCGTGGGATTGACTTTGTTTCTTAATCTTTTGAGCTTTAGGTCACTATCTATTTCTAAGTTTTTAAAGGCATTTTCAATTTTTGTTATATTACTAGAATCTGTTTCATTACTGATTATAGACTCAGTGTCAGAGGTATTGACTAGAGCAAAAGATCCTAGGACTTTAAGGGTAGAAGGCTCAGGTTTTTCTTTTACTGGTGTTAGCTGTTCAAGCATTTCTTCTATTTTCTTCATTGTGGGTTTTGTCTTAAAGGTGGGGCTTGACTCTAAATCTTGGAATTTGACTAGGGGTTTCTCTTTTTGAGACTTAAGGGACGTTTGAGAGGGAACTATTTTGTCAATTTTGGTTTCTATCTTATCTAACTGTTTTCCAATGACTATTAGACTTTGGTTTGTATAATTATTTTGTTCAATTAATTTTTTATCATTTTGATCAGGGATTTTAAAGGGGCTGGCCGTGATTTTAGACTTTTTATGATCAATGATTATTGTCTCTACTGGGGGATGACTGGATATGACTTCAGTGTTGTCTTCTTTTTTCCACTTTTCCTGGGTTAAAGTTTTAACTCGTTGGGCATGTAGTGACTTTCGACAAAATCAAGATAAAAAGTTTCTGACTTAGTGGTTCGCATAAAATATTTCCACTTATTAAAGATTTGTTGTCGTTGTTCTTTACTGGGGTAGGCTGTATGATAATTGTTTCTTCTTTCTAGATTCTATGGGGCATGTAAATGATTATCTAGACTTTTCCAATTAATTTTATATTCTTTATTAAGGGTTCGTAGTTGATTATCTATGGTAAAAGAACCAGCTTCGAAATCAGTTTGTGTAGGGGAATCTGGGGATTCTGACTTTGCATCTTCTTTTACTGGTTTTTTACCATAACAAGGCTGGTTGACTTGGGAGGTTTTTCTTAAGGATTCTAATTTTAAATCGATTAAGGTTTTTTCTAACTCTAGGTCTCGTTCTAGAGTTGAAGAGGAGGCTGTAAAGAAATGTCTAGCAGGGGCATGTCTTTGAGATTGACTAGGTGTAGGAAGTTGGTGTAATTGGACGGAAGACTTTTGAGGGGGTTGGTTTCCAAAATTAATTTTAACTGTGCCGTTAAATATTGTTGAATGTAATCTAAATTATTTAAATTATGTTGAATGGGAGCATGTTGATTTTCTGTGGTTAGTGTCCAATCTAGGGGTAGGGTGACTTCTGACCATTTAATTGTGTGAGGAACTCTTATATTGGCATCGGCTTTACTACTTTGAATGAGCAAGGTTTGGTATTTTGGACTTTTATTGAGAGCTTGAAAATTCATATTGGTTCCTATGACTTTGTAATAAATTCTATAAACTAAATCTAAAGGTTGGGTTCCTGGAAGGACTTTATAACCAGAAGTTTTGATATTTAATGTTAGAGTTTTCAGAATATGGGGATCACTAAGGCTTACTATGAAATCTGGGTAACTATCAAAATGAATTGGACCATTAAACAAGCTTGACTCAATTATTCCTAATGTACTGTCACTAAAGTTGGTAAATCTGGCATTACGTAGGCAAAGTAAAATTGAGGCATTTAGTTCTAGTCTGGTAAGAGGTTTGACTGCAACTTGGACTAGACCAATGTGAAGGAAATTGTTTCCGTCACTTTGTGTTTCTTAATTGATTCAAGGTTTAATAATTGACATGTTTCATGTTCTTTACTTAAGGCATAAACTTGTTCGACTGTTTTTACATGGGTGGTTGACTTGAAACTTGAGAGTGACCATTTTTTCTTATAAATTTCTTGACTAGGAATTTTAGGGATATTCCAATCTTTATAATCTATTTCACTACTAGAATCATATTCTATTTGTTCTTCATTAACTATCTCTGGGAGTTTACTAATGCTGGCTCTAGAATTGCTAGAGTTACAAGAGTTGGTTCTAAATAAGCGACTCATCTGGACAAGGTTACTGGTTTTCTTACAAAGGCTAAGAAGAAAGGCTAACTATCCTATAACAGGTTCAGGGATTCCTGGGAACTGAAGGGTTTTCTCCCTCTCCGCTCATGCCGCATCCACTCATGCCTCACCGTGGGACTTATTGTTTGGACCAGAGAGAAAAGGGAACAGTAAACAGGAAGACTCTGAAGAAGCTACAGAATAAAAGAAAACTTCAAACATAGAGAAGATGACCAGTGACTATAGACTTAGAGAAGTAGATTTAGAATGACTCTTCAACACTTACGGCTTTGATACCAGAAGGGGATCTAGAGGCCAGACGAAATTGCATTAATAGTGATTAAACATAAGTAGTAAAATATGCGGAAGTAATGCATAAATGAAATTAATGAAAATATGCGTAATTGAAAACATAGAAATGACTTTCAGAATATCTTGATTGAAAGATTTTGTTGGATAGCACTCATTATTTACAATAGTAGTTTTCTTGAGGGAGTCTTTGAGAAAACTTTGAAGACTGAAAAACTGAAACTAAAATTACATTATGATTCCAACTAAGGCCGAAGCCTGCATTTATAGAGTTGGCTAAAAGTGTCGGCAACATTGGATGCCGAGGAGCTTAACTGTTGAGGCACGGGCTATTTACTTTTGCTTTTACTTTCACTTTGTTTTTACTTCTTTTACTTTTTCGGTGACTTTTACTTTCTTGCTTTCATGATGATTGTCGGAGAATATTGACTATAGTGCTTTTGTCTTTGTTGTATATATATATATATAGAGTAATGATAGGCTTACCACATTTTTCATACCACAATTGTACCATCTCTCTAATAGAGGTGGAGCCCACCAATACAATGGGGTCCACCTCTATTAGAGAGGTGGTACAATTGTGGTATGAAAAATGTGGTAAGCCTAGCATTTTTGATATATATATATATATATATATATATCGTGATATTCTCCTTGAAACATAGTCACTAGAAATTCGGCCAATCAAAGATAGGAATGACCCAAATATCATTCTCTAACATTCTATGTATATCAGAAGTATTCTCAATCAATCTGAATGGGGCAAACACCCCTACTCCTTCAAAACACTTAATTCCAGTCTTCAATTCAGTTATTATGATTACATTGAAGCATGGCACAATATTTTCCTTCACCAAACTAATGATTTTAGCCATTCTTGGTTCATCAATTTCGATAGTAAATTCAAGAGTCCTTTTCCCTACTGGTTTTCTTCCTGGTGGGAAAAACATGGTCCTACTTCTAATCTTCTTCCACCTATTCTCCAAGAATCAGTCAAATATTTCTCGAGCAAATATATATTCATGCAAGACAGTCAATTCTTCCCAAAGCTCTTAATTTTTATTGCCAAATACAAGGCTCCATGGATTCTCAAATGGTCCTACAAAGTCAACTGGGAATCGCATATTCTCTCCAGACAATTCTCCATTAAATGGAGGGACAAGTTCAAGACAGAAAGAATTATTGAACATGTCAACACTGAGTTTCCCCAAGCCTCCCAAATGAATGATGAAGATGTTGATGATGACGATGCTTCTCCAAAGTCTCAATACTCTTCTAGTCAGCCTGAGATTCCATCAAGTCAAAAAGATTCCACCCAGAAATTCCTGTGGGCAAATTATCTAGACAGTCAAGATCCGTATGATCTCAATGAAGACTGCAAAAGTCAACTTCAAAGGTTTCTAGGATCTCTTAACTATGTTTCTGATTTCTATCAGAATCTGCAAAAGCAATGTAAACCCTTATTTGATAGACTCCAAAGTAATCCTCCTCCTTGGACCTCTACTCATACAGAAATTGTTAAACAAATCAAAATCCATGTCAAAACACTACCTTATCTTGGTTTTCCTTCAGTCAATTCCTTCAAAATAGTTGAAACTGACGTCTCAGAAAATGGTTATGGAGGTATCCTAAAACAGAAAGCCAATCCAAATCAAACAGAGCAAATTGTTCGATTCCATTTTGGAATTTGGACACAGTCACATTGTAATTATAGTACTATTAAAAAGAACTTCTCAAAATTTTCATTTTGTAATTTGTGACTCATCTGTCTTAACTATATTATCTCATTTTTTACTATTTTTACTTCCATTTGTAAATCTTGTAAAGTAACTTCTTTCTTTCTATTAAACGTTTCTAAAGTTGTGTTTAAGCTTATTTTGGGGAAATTACTTTGACTTACATCTTCTTGTCCTATAACTTTTCGTAATTTTCTTAGATATTCAGATTTTAGCTCTGGAATGTCAACCTTACTAATTAGATCTATTAATAACTCTTCTTGTTCTTCCAGTTTTGTGAGCACACTTATTGACTTGGTTAAGATATGACAACATTTATAATTACATCCAAACTGAATTTGTGGAGAGCTTGACTGAGAGTTTGAGGAGCTATAGTCTTCTGAGCTTGTTACTGAGATTTCATTTTCACTAAACTCAGAATTTCTTAATTCTAAAACTTTGATCAACTGGGCCTTGTCTTCTTCTGAAATTTTTAATTTCTTTATTGTGTCTTTTACTTTGCACTCATTAGCATAGTGACCAAATTTCTTACATTTCCAGCACTCAACTTTTCTTTGTCTGTATTTTTCTTAAAGTTACTTTTCTTGTATTTTCTGGGTGTTTTTGACCAATTTTTCCACGGGTTAAATTTTTTCTTACTATAAAATTCATCATTATGTCTAAAGGACTGTTTCCTTTGTGAATAATGTCTATTTTTACTTGTTTGTCGGTCATTGTTCCTAGTCTTGACTTTTCTAGAGGGAGGAGTAGGCACTAAACCGCATTGTTCACAAAAATCTCCTAATTCATATTTGGCTAACTTTATGTCTGACTGTATTTGTTTTCCTATTTTTAAATCTACACACATTTTCATGCTTGCTTGATTAATTGTGCTAATTATATTACCATAAGTTAGATTATCAAAATCTCTATGGCCTTGGTCGTTACTTAAAACTGTTCGAATCTTATGAGCAAAAAAATTAGGAAGACCATTAATAAATTTTTCTTTCAAGAATGGTTGATTACTATCATCTCTTAACATAACTCTAGAAATAAAGACATCTTTATACCATCTAAAATCACTTAATTTGGGACATCTGAGATTACTAAGTTGGTCATGGATTTTGGCAGTAGTGTTACTAGGTGTTCCTATAAAGTGTTCAATTATGGTATATAATGCAGTATTGACTCCATCTTCTATTCCCGTGCCTAATCGCTCGTCAAAAATAGGGAGACCTTCTTCATTTAGTTTTATTGCATGTGTGATTTGTCATTTTGACTCTTCGGTTAAGTGTTTATCCCGCCAAAAAAGTAAGGTTCCGGTAAATCCAGTTTCTAAAATGGGAACGTTTTCTAACTATCTTAAACTATGATTGGTTATATAACTGTTGGTTACCACAGACATGTGTTGAAGTTTATTCAGAATTTCTTGTTATGATAGACCATCGATATTCCAATCGTATATTCAGATGAGACTAAGAATTGACTTTGGGAATTTCTTTCTTCAAACTGGATGTCAGGAGTAGTTGGTTTCGGGTACCAATTTTTTGTTAGACTAGTAGGATTGACTTTATTTCTTAGCCCATTAAGTTTTAGATCATTGTTTATTTCTAAATTACTAAAGGCATTTTCAATTTTTGATATATTACTGGAATTCGTTTCATTACTGGTTGTAGACTTAGTTTCAAAGAAATTGGTTTGTTGGCGCTTAAAACTAACAGATAGAAATAAAGCTAACTTATAGTTGACGTGGAAGGTTTGGACCCGAGAAGCCTTCGGTCTGCGGTGTCTTCCCACGAGGGGTAATGCCGGATTCTGCCTGGGGAGAGGAACAACAGGTGAAGCCTAAGACACCGGTGTGGTGCCGGCTAAAGGTCATCCGATGCCAAAGTTAGTGACTAAGAGCGATTCTATTGACAAAGTGAAAGCACAAGTCAAGTAAAACAGTCTTACCTTTTGTCTTCAGCGATCGACGCGTGCCCTAATAGGTTCTGGCGAGAGTTCCAACGGGATCTATCAGAATCGATCGAATGTGTTAACTGGTCGCTCGACATCGTCTGCCGGAGATTGGTGTCTTTTGTCAGTTTGTAGGCACTCCATCGATTTGACCAGTATGAACCGGTGGAGCATGCTGATCGAAGTTTCGGCATGGCTCACAGAGTTTGTCCGGGCTGTGTAGATTTTGCCACGTGTTAAGACGTGACTTGGGGGTCAGATATGGTACAAATAGGAGTCCCTCAAGTTTCTGATCGAGGAGGGACTTCTTGGTTAGGGACTTGCTTGTCAGTGAGCTCCAACATTCTGACTCGGGTACGAGCGTCTTTCGTCGTTTGATCATGCCGATGGTGATCATGTAGTCCCCCAAGTCCTCGAGCAAGAGGGGAGGTTGGAAGATTGGAAGGGAACGGCAAAAGAAGTCGAGGGTGAGTAAAAGCTCGACCACTGCATGCTTGTCGTTCGGCATGAGAGGTGAGTGAATACTCAGCCACCGGGTACCTACCGTTCGGCATGAGAGGTGAGTGAAAACTCGACCACCGCGTGCCTACCATTCAACATGGGAGTGAGTGAAAACTCGACAACCACGTGCCTGCCTTTTGGCATGAGAGGTGAGTGAAAACTCAACCACCGCATGCCTGTCTTTCGGTATGAGAGGTGAGTGAAAACTCGACTATCGCATGCCTGCCGTTAGGCATGGGAGGTGGGTGAAAACTTGTCCTGTGTGCGCCTGCCGCTAGTGGACTTTGCTGTTTGTAGGCGGCATTTCAAAGCTGTGCATGTGATCGGTGCTCATCTCCAGGTTCAGGGTGAGTTGTGCCGAAGGCTAGTGAGAACGGGGTCTCGCCGGTTGACCTTTGGTATGAGGTATTGATGGCCAGTCGCCTTTAGCAGCTCCGAGCCTCTTCTTCAATGTTTTCTTGATGATCTTGTTGATGGCCTCTACCTACCCATTGGATTGTGGATGTGCCGGAGATGCAAAGAATATGTTGAGGTTAAATCGGGAGCAGAGATGCCGAAATTGAGAGCAGTCGAATTGCTTGCCAAGGGCTCGTGATCGGATTGAGTGGGTCAGCATGTTGCTTAGGAATGGAAACGAAGCGTTGGCATCGATCGCATTTTTGCACGATCTTGACGGCATCAGTGTGGAGAGTAGGCCAACAGTAGCCTTGTCGAACTGCTTTTAAGGCCAAAGATCGGGATGCTAAATGGTCGCCACACGCGCCCTCGTGTATTTCTCGTAAGATATAGTCCCCTGTTACGCGACAACACATCGCAGCAAAGGTAAGGAGTGGCCACGTCGATAAAGGATGTTTTGCAACAGAAGGTACCGCGCTGATTGGCGCTGGGAAGCTTTGGCCTCAGTTTTGTCAGTTGGGAGGGTGCCATCGATGAGGTAGGCGTGGATTGGATTCATCCAACTTGGGTCCTGCCGAACGGCGTTCGACGCGGTCGTCAATGGCCGAGGCGAGTCTCGAGAGAGCATCGACATGGCTATTCTCATATATAGGGATCTGCCGAATTTGGTATGTTTTGAACTGATCAAGCAATCGGCGGGTCTGCGCGATATAGGCAACCATGGACTTGTCCTTTGCCTCGAATTCGGTGATCACCTGGTTGACGACTAGTTGGGAGTCACTACATATCATCAGTCATTCGACATCCATGCTCTTAGCAAGCCGAAGGCTTGCCAAGAGGGCTTCGTATTCGGCTTCGTTGTTGGAAGCGCGGAATTGGAAATGGATAGCATATTCGATCGTGGGATGAGCTGTCTTGTCAATTGGATGAGCTGTCCACATATAATGTCTAGTGAGGATCGGTCGGTCGACGCCGAAGGTGGTTCCGTGATGGGATCGGTCGGTCGATCGTTTTCAAAAAGAGGTGTGAGTTTAGAAATGAAATCGGCCACATCTTGTGCTTTTTAGCAGGTTGAGGGTGGTATTGTGTGTCGAATTCCCCAAGCTCAATGGCCCATTTGATCAGTCGTCCTGATGTTTCCGGCTTCTGCAGGACTTGCCGTAGAGGCTGGTTGGTCAATACGTCTAGGGTGTGAGCCTGAAAGTAGGGTCGAAGGTTTTGAGCAAAGAAGACGAGAACGTAGGCCAATTTTTCAAGTTGGGTGTACCGTTGCTCCGTGTCCTACAGCGCATGGCTTGTGTAAAAGATGGGGAGCTTAATGCTATTGTCGACACCGAGAGGTAGATGATGAGGTTGTCTCCCGAAAGAGGTTTGGACAGTAGAGGGGGGTTTGAGATCTACAAATGCACAGTCGCATTCGGAAGTCCAATCAACCTGTCGTTTACTCCCTTTGAGAGCTTTGAAGAAGGGGGCGCATCGGTCGGTGGCTTTGGATATGAAGTGGGCCAAGGCCGTGACTCGGCCAGTGAGGCTCTGAACATCCTTCTTTGTCCCGCTGGCTTATCATGAAGCCCAAGAATTTGCCGGTAGAGACGCCGAAGGCGTATTTGTTTGGGATCAGGCGCATGTTGTACTTTTTCAGGGTGCCGAACATGAGGGAGAGATTCCGAAGATGATCATTGGCAGTCCTACTTTCGACTAGCATGTCATCTACATAGACTTCCATCGAAGTGCCAATGAGTTCGGCAAATATTTTGTTGACCAGGTGTTGATATGTTGCCCCTGCATTCTTCAAGCCAAACGGCATGACGTTGTAGCAATAGAGGCCCTATCGGTGATGAATGCCATATGTTCATGATCTGCCGGATGCATGAATATCTGGTTGTAGCCGGAATAGGCGTCAGTGAAGCTGAGGAGCTCGTGGCCGGCCGTGGCATCCACCAGTTGGTCGATTCTTGGCACATTCACTAAGCTCCACTAAGTTTCTTTACCAAAACTGAATTAGCGAGCCAGATAAGGTACGTTACCTTTAGGATGAAGCCGATTGCCTGAGCTTGTGGCAGATGACATCCGAGGAGATGCCAGACATGTCGTCGTTGGACCAGGCAAAAACTTCCGAGTTGGCTCTCAAAAAGGCGATGAATTCGGTTCGAAGAGTCGGGCTAAGGGAAGTGCCGATCCGAACAGATTAGTCCTGTGAGTCGGAGATGGGTATCGTTTCTAGCTCCTGGATAGGTTGAGCTTGCGGCGTCACGCCCTCATGGTGCCTTCCGTTCGACATGGTGCCTTCCGTTCTGATACCCGGGTTGCCGATTCTCGTGTGGATGACACATAACTTACTAGTGTGCTCAATTGGTCATCTCGGATCTGGCCGACCCCATAGTGCGTTGGGAATTTGAGCAGCAGCATATGCTGCGATAAAATAGCCTTCATTCAGGTGAAGGTCTACCGATGATGGCGTTACAAGCTGTAAGATAGTGGACCACCAAGAAGTGAGTGTAGACGAACGTCCTTCTGGGGCTGGTGCCGATAGCAAGGGGAAGTTGGATGCTTCCGATTGGCTCTACCACATCGCCCGAGAAGCTTAAAAGGGGGGTGATGTCCTTGTTGAGGCTTTGGCGTTCGATTCCGAGGCCTGTGAAAGTATCGGCAAAGAGTACGTGGACCGAACTTCCAGTGTCGATGAGGATTCGGCCTATGTCAAAATCGACAATGTCTGCCCAAATAATCATGGGATCGGAATAGGGGAAGATGAAGCCTTTTCTTCTTCCTCGGAAAAGGTGATGGGCTCCCACCCGAGTCGCCGGATTTTGCTGCTACGCCATTCAGTGATACTGAGGACTTGAGAATGCTGAACGGCACGTACGTAATTTTTGACAGATCATGTTGATCTGCCGATTGCTCGGATGTTCAGGGGCCGGATACTGGTCTAGCTTGCCTTCGCTGATTAGTTTTTCAATAATTTTTCGGAGGGCGATGCATGATTCGGCATCATGGCCATTGTACTGGTGGTATCGGCAGAACACTCCCATATCTTTGTCGACTTGTCGAGGGAGCTTCCAGTTGCTGGGCTTCGGAATTATCTGATTTTCAGCCATGAGGACATGTTCGTAAGTTGAGTTGGGCGCAGTAAAGACTTCCTCTGGTCGGCCCCTCATTGGGCTTTAGAAATTGACTCAGCCACTTTGATCCTTATTGCGTTTGCCTCTGTCCTGCCGACCCTGAAATATGTCCCTTCTCTTGTCTCCTGCTGTGTAAGGAGCTAATACGGCAGGTGCCGTTCGGTAGAGAGCCTAATTCGCAGTCTGGTGTGGTGTGAAACAGTCATACGTTGGCACCGGGGCCTGACCTACGTTTGCCGTTGGGCAAGGAGGTGCCGAAGATACTTCTTTGGAGTTGAAGTGCTCCGCCTTAGCGTGAATGACTGCTTGTTTCATGAGCTCGCCATAGGTTATCCAATTGCTGCTATGGACCAGATATTGGAATTGAGATGCTCGGAGGCCACTTTTAAAGGCGCCGAAGGCTGCTCGGTCGTCGATTTCTGGGCACCGAGAGTACTCATGGCTGAATCTGGCTGCGTATTCTCGAAGAGGCTCCCTGTCTCCTTGCCGAATGGTGCAAAGGTCATCGGCGGAGTAAAGGCGATCTGTCTGTATCATAAAATGATTGAGGAAGATTTACTTTAATTGATCGAAAGAATCTACCATACTTGGCTCCAGTCGGTAGAACCAATTCAAGGCCGCTCCGGCTAAGGTAGATGGAAATAGGAGGCATTGACTTTCATCAGTGAGCCGTTTGCAACCCAGGGCCGATTGGAATGTATGAATGTGTGTCACAGGATCTTCCACTCCTGTGTAGAATGAGATTTGGAGTGCCTGGACCTCATTGTCATGTCGATAGACTCAGATTCGGCTAGTGAACGGTCCTGGCTGTACCTTTCCCCAGGTTCCTGGACCTCATTTTCATGTCGATAGAATTTGGTTCTGTTCTTCTTCAATCCGATTGATTTTCTGAAAGAGGAGGCGAATGGTGGGATTGGCATGAGGGAGGTCGTCGCAGAAGGGCTCTAACGTCTAGGGGCCGGTTGGAAGGCGAACGTCACATCCTTGTGTTTCGCTGCCTGCCTCTCGGTTGGAGTTTCTGATGGGACCTCTTTTCTGCCGATCGTTCCCTCTGGTGGATCGGTAGCTTGGGTGCTATTGTCTGGATGATCCTGATGTTGCTGATCGGCATGAGATCGTCGTGCCAGAAAAGGTCGGAACATAATCGGATTCGTCTATTTCTTCTAAACCGATCGGTAGCTTCGATGAATAGGAAATTTTGGTCCGAGTACGTCCAGGTGCCGATCATTGACTTTTGCTTGGACGGGAATTGGGGAAGTCCGCCGTTCCCTATGCCGATTGTTGAGTCTGTCACGACAATCGGAGAAGACTCGATATTCCCGGTGGCATTTTCCGGAGAAGGCACGAACCACCTTCGGGAGGCTGACGGCCAGCCTGAGGCCGGTTGCTTTCCTCTCTCCTGACCGCTAAGTTTTGGCACGCTTATGAGCGATAGTTCCTGCCGAAGCTACATGGTCTGTTCCAAACTGTCCTGCAGTTGGGCCGAGTGTGATTGTTGTTCATAAAGCTGTTTCTGGGTGTCGTCCAGTTTGGAGGAAAGGATGTTGTTGTGTTCCTGCATTTTCGCCATTTCCCGCTGTAAGGCTTCCATCCTATCCTCCAAGGTGTTTGACTGACCAGGCGTTTCCACTCGGGGTGTGCCGGGCGGCGCAGTAGGGTTCGCTCTGCTAGCGAGGCCGACGATAGGGCCATCGGTCTCAAGGGGCGAAGGTGTGTTCATAGTTAGGTCGAAAAAGATATATGGGCTGATTGTCAATCGCGATTCCCACAGAAGGCGCCAATCTGTTGGTGCTTAAAACTAACATATAGAAATAAAGCTAACTTACAGTTGACGTGAAAAGTTTGGACCCGAGAAGCCTTTGGTCTGTGGTGTCTTCCCACGAGGGTTAATGCCGGATTCTACCTTGGGAGAGGAACAACAGATGAAGCCAAAGACACCGGTGTGGTGCCGGCCGAAGGTCCTCCGATGCCAAAGTTACTGACTAAGAGCGATTCTATTGATAGAGAGAAAGCACAAGTCAAGTAAAACAGTCTTACCTTTTGACTGGGCCAAGGGGCTCTATTTATAGAGTATTTGTGATGCTCTTAGTACTTAGTTTTGATATGAGACTCGTGGGAGTGTCTTCAGCGGTCGACGCGTGCCTTGACAGGTTCTAGCATGAGTTCCAAGGTGATCTGTCAGAATCGGTCGAATGTGTTGACTGGTCACTTGGCATCGTCTGTCGAAGGTTGGTTTCTTTTGTCAGTTTGTAGGCACTCCACCGATTTGACCAGTATAAATCGATGGAGCATGCCGATCGAAGTTTCGGCATGGCTCACAGAGCTGGTCCGGGCCGTGTAGATTTTGCCACGTGTTAAGACGTGAGTGGGGGGTCAGATATGGTACAAACATGGTTAAAACAAAAGATTCTAGGACTTCGAGACCACAAGGTTCAGATTTTTCTTTCACTGGAGTTAACTGTTTAAGCATCTCTACAATCTTTTCCCTTGTGGGACTTGTCTGGAGTTTGACTTTGAATCTTGGAATCTTACTAGAGGTTTTTCTCTCTGAGACTTAAAGGATATTTGTTGAGGGATTATTTTGTGAATTTTTGTTTCTATTTTATCTAATTGTTTTTCAATTACTATTAGACTCTGGTTTGTATAATTATTCTGCTCAATTATTTTTTTGTCATTTTGTTTTGGAATTTTGTAAGGACTTACCTGGAGTTTAGTATTTTTATGGGTGATAACTATAGTTTCAACTGGGGGGTGACTGGCTAAAACTTTGGTATTATCTTCTTTTTCCCATTTTTCTTGGGTTAATGTTTTTAACTCTTTGGGGCATTCAAATGATTGTCTAGAATTTTCTAATGAATTTTAAATTCTTTGTTGAGGGTTCGTAATTGATTGTCTACTGGAATGGTTTCGGCTTCAAAATCAGTTTGTGTGGGGGGAGTTTGGGGAGTTGGATTTCTCATCTTCTTTTACTGGTTTCTTCCCATAACAAGGATAGTTGACTTGAGAGGTTTTCCTTAAAGATTCTAATTTTAAGTCAATTAACGCTTTTTTTAATTCTAGGTCTCTTTCTAGAGTGGAGGAAGACGCAGTGAAAGAATGTCTAGCAGGTTGTTTGAAAGAATGACTAGGTGTTGGAAGTTGTTGTATTTGGACTGAAGACTTAAAAGGAGGTTGGTTTCCAAAATTGATTTTGACTATGCCATCTAAATATTGTTGGATATAATCAAGATTATTCTAATTATGCTGAATAGGTGTAGGTTGACTTTCAGTTGCTAAAGTCCAGTCTAAAGGTAACTTGACATCAGACCGCTTAATTGCGTGAGGGACTCTAATATTGGCGTTTGCTTTACTACTTTGGATTAATAAAGTTTAAGGGCTTGGAAGTTTATATTAGTTCCTGTGACTTTATAGTAAATCCTATAAACTAGAGCTAAAGGTTGAGTTCTAGGTAGGACTTCATAACCTTCAATTTTTATATTTAATGTTAAGGTTTTTAATATGTGGGGATCACTAAGACTTACTATAAAATCTGGGTAACAATCAAAATGGATTGGTCCATTAAATAAACTTGACTCAATAATTCCTAGGGTGCTGTCACTGAAATTGGTAAATCTTCCATCTCTGAGACAGAGAAGGATAGAGGCATTAAGGCCTATTCGGGTTAAGGGTTTGACTGCTACCTGAACTAAACCAATGTTTAGGAAATTGTTTCCATCTTTTCGATGTTTCTTAATTGACTCAAGGTTAAGTAGTTGGCATGTTTCATGTTCTTTACTAAGAGCATAGACTTGTTCAACCGTTTTAACATGGGTTGTTGACTTAAAAAAGGATAGTGACCAACGTTTTCTATAAATTTCTTGACTAGGGACTCTAGGTATATTCCAATCTTTAAAACTAATTTCACTATCTGATTCAAATTCTACTTGTTCTTCATTTACTATGTCTGGGATTTTACTAGTACCGGCTCTAGAATTGCAGCTATTAACTGAGTTGGTTCGAAGGAGGCGACTTATTGATACAAGTTAAATTGGAATGAAATTTTCTGGGAAAGAAGGACACTAGAACTTCTATTAAAAACTCATGAAAACCTGTAAACCTAGGGATTCTCTCTCTCTCTCTCCGCTTTCCGCAACCGCTCATGCCTCTTCATGGGACTTACTGTATGGACTCTAGGACTTATTGTTTGGTTGAGAGAAAAGGACAGGTTAACAGATAATCAAGAAAGAAGCAACAGAAGAAATAATGACCATTAAACACAGAAAATTGGAACCAGTGACCTGTGAATGAGAAGCATGCTAAGAACTGACTCAGCAACGCTTACGGCTTTGATACTAGGAGGGGATGTCACAATATGAGTCAATCCGAGATGTGACGGAATGGTATCAGAGCCACTCTGCCATGTGGTGCGAGTGCGTCGACGAGAACATCGGGTCCTTAAGGGGGGTAGATTGTAACATCCCACATCGACCAACGGAGAGGGGGTGATGTGCCTTATATGTACATGCCCACCTTCATCTAGCACGAGGCCTTTTGGGAGCTCATTAGCTTCGGAGTCATGGGAACTCCAAAGTTAAGCGAGTTTGGGGTAGAGCAATCCTAGGATAGGTGACCCACTGAGAAGTTGCTCGTGAGTTCCCAGAAACAAAACCGTGAGGGTAGGGGGCCCAAAGCGGACAATATCGTGCTACGGCAGAGCCAATCCAGGATGTGACCGAATGGTATCAGAGTCACTCTGCCATGTGGTGCGAGTGTGCTGACAAGAATGTCGGGCCCCTAAGGGGGGTGGATTGTAACATCCCACATCGACCAACGGAGAGGGGGTGATATGCCTTATATGTACATGCACTCCTCCATCTAGCACGATGCCTTTTATATATATTCAATTTCCAAGTTTAATTGTTGTTGTTAAGTTTTGGGTTTGAGTGAAAACTTTTGGAGATTGTTGATATATGTTTTATTTTTGCAACTTGAATTATTAATTAGCATATATGATTTTTGGTGTCTAATATTTTTTAAGAATCAACTTATTGTATTCTTGTTGATGAAGCAAAAGATGCATCTAATAGAGAGCAAATGGCCATTGTTTTAAGATTTGTTGATAAGGATGGTTTTGTACGAGAACGTTTTTTGGGATTGTTTGGTATTTGTTTATATTTTGTACTTCTTTGTGTTATATTTGCTCGTAATGTGGCTTTGTTTGATTTATAAAATTTTATTTACATTTTTATTTCAAGAGAAAAACGGTTTATAATATATCTCCTCTATAAAATAAAACAAATTTAACCTACCCCTATAAAAATTTCTGGATCTGCTATTGCATCTAACCAATGATGGACTCACATAATCAGTTTTTCTTTCTTCTTCTCTTTTTTTGCCCTTTTGTATAATCTGTTTCTTTCTTCTTTTTTTATTTTATTTTCTCTTCTCTTCTGATTTGGCTCATATAATCTGTTGATGGATGACTCTATAGGGGTTACTAAGACCCGTATAGTTGTTTTTGTCCTTTTCTGGGGTTTTATACCCCCCTGTTTCACCATAAAAAAATCAAGGGAGGAAACACCCAGGGCTCTTCCAAACGTACCACCACGTGCTCTCATCCCCACCAATGCTTTTAACTCTTTGTTTTGTTTTTTTGTTTTTTGTTTTTTGTTTTTTTTAATGAAAGGAATGCTTTTAACTATTTCGAATTGAGTATGTGACGTAAGGGATAACATTGGATCAACTACTCGTTTTCATAATAAGTTAGTGAGATTATTGTATAGTTCTGAAATACAACTACGTGGTATAATTTGTCTGTATGTTTATATATATAGATGATATGGTTAATGTTTATCAAGTTTAAGTTATATTATAAAACATTCATAAGTTATACAATACTCTATTACCGCATTATAATTATTTGAAGAAATTCTCAACTCTAAAGGTATTAAATTACTAATTTTTATATGAGATATATTTTGATTTCTCATGTGTAGAGATACTCGTTTAATTCTCTTTATCGGAAACTTTGGTTGTACGCGTTCATTCTTTCCTTGATAAGATATTATTGCTTTTTCGTGAAGAAAAAAAAAGAAAAAGAGAGAGTAAACATGCATTGAAGCTTCCTGAAAGCGAGTTCACTAACTTGCTACGAAATATCGAGCCTGTTTTTTTATTATATTTTTTTGGATGCGGTTCCCTTATATTGTAGACCTCAGAAACTTGAGTTGCCAAGATATTGACACAAGGTAGAAAAAATGGCTACAGGTCACCTAGTTCTGAAGCCTACCACTCGTCATCCCAAGCAAACAATTTCTGAGGATATTTCTAGACTGACCATCGACCCTCAAAAGAGTAACAGCAGCTCCCAGTCTTCAGAAACGAGTTCCAATTTTGGTGCTGTTCTCCAGCCCAAGAAGGAGAGAGGTAAGAAGAAAACGAAGGGCAGAAGCAGCAATTTCTTCAGCATTACTGACAATAAAATTGAGGGGATCAGAGCTAAGCAGGTAGGAATTTTCCAGTTTGGTAACACCCACGAAGGCCACCAGAAAGAAATACAAGTCGACTCCAGTAGTGGAGAAACCGACTCGGGCTCCAGTGAAGAAGAAGAGTAAAGCTGATGACTCGCTGAGGTCTGCAGCTAGCTTAGTCTCCTTTTTAATTATGCAATATTTGATATTTTAAATAATTTTATTGCGTTATTTTCCACATTAGCTACTTGACAGAATTTCTAATGGGAGGGACGGTTTTGATGTGCAAAGGATAATGTTAAGGCCTATTAATGTCACAAAAAATCCTTAAGGACAATTTGTGACAATTTCGTAAAATTCAGGGATTATTTGTGATTAAAAAAGTCTAAATAAAATAATGATTTTGCTTTTCAAGTTTCAATTTTTTAAACACAAACAATAGTCTAGCCTTTTTCTATTTAAATGTCCTTCAACTAAAGTCATTAACTTCTTTTTCCAATAAATAATAAATCTTGTTAGTATATTCATAATTGTGAAAAGGATGAAATGAAATTGTTAAAAGAAATTACAAAAACATGAAAATACATAAGTCGAGTTTGGCTTGGGCCCGTAATTGCCTGTTTAGTGGTCTAGTACGAGCCCGGTCTTATCCCATATGTGCGAGGGCTGCAGGCTCGGGCGGACTTGATGGCTTTCATAAATGGACGGGCCCAATCCGGCCCGTTTATTGAAGGGACTGACTATAAATGAAATAAGGACAATGATATAGGCTTAATTATAGGACTATTTTCATGTATTATTGTTGTTGTTGATATTATTAATAGGTAAAAAGTCACTCTTAGTCCATTTAGTTTGCTAGTTTTCACTTTAGTTCCTATAGTTTTCACTCAATGACACATCCAAATTTCCATCTAATTCCATCCATAATTCCATCCAAATACCCCTCATATAAGCGGCACATTTTATTCCGTCAAGAAATTGGACTTAAATTTGGTCGTGTCCTTAAATTACAATTAAACCAAATTACAAGTGGTAAATTGACAGAAATTCAAACCACAGAGATCAAAGTGAAAATTTAATCAAACTACAAGGACGAAAAGTTACTTTTTTCTTTATTAATATTCCCTTGATAATCCTTTTAAGTTAACATTAATCCAACGGGAAAACGTATATAGAAGACTACATAGAGAGGCCCAATGAATTAGTAGGGTTCACAAGTAAGAGAGCTTCTGCAATGAGAAGTTTAGAGTGAGGAGTCTATTTGAAGGGTTCAATCTCACCATCAAACCATTTAAAATATTTAAGTCCATTGATTTTTTCACATTTGTTGATGGTAGTATTGAACCTGTTAAATAAGCTCCTTACTCTAAACTTCTCATTATAGCTTTTCCGCACAAGTAGGCAAATGGAGGTCTCAAACTCAAGCAGAAGGCAAGACCTTTTTTCTAATGTCCCAAAACTCAAATTTGGGAATATATATATATATATATATACTAAATCCGGATATCCAAGGGCCCAAATTTTATTTTGAGGTATGGGAACTCAGATATCCATTATGGACTGGACTAAAGATGAAGGACCGATGTCAACCCATGTGCAACACAGTTGACGGATCTGGTATGTCGTGCGTTCTCCTCTTGTTTGTGCGGCTTACGTATCAGATGTGCAGATAAGCTGATTGTTAAAATTCAATTGTCAGTTCAAATTCGTTATTTTATTTAAAAAAATCCAAATCAAGGACAAATAATTTTGATTGTTTTAACTTAAAAAAAAATTATAATACCTCAAATTTATATCCAACCGTCAAACTTTTTTATTATTAATTTTATTTTTTCAATACAAGCAATAGTTTAAATTAATCTAATATATGTAGATTGAGACTCAAACTTGTATGCAAGGAGATGAACTCAATGCCCTAAACCAAATCTACAATAGTTAAATCTATAAATAACCATCTATTTGTGAAATAATCCACCTAAAATCAATTTCTTACAGGGCCCGTTTGAAACACGTTTTAAACAATTACTAAAGGTAGGGTCCCAAATTTTAGGAGTTGGAAGAAAAAACTGGGTTCTCGAGAAAAATTATTGGATTTGTCATCTCACCTTAGTTTTGTAATGCCATTTCATTTTTCTTTTTCTGCGATGTGGGCTTTGTCAAGAATGTTTGTTTCTCTTATTATGGACCCGTTTGCCCTCCTCTTCTTCTTCTTCTTCATGCTTGCTGTCGCGTCTAGCATACGTTGTAAGATGTGGTTGTGGCATATTTGATCTTGGGCTTGGGCTTGAGATTATTAATAATAGGATGCTCAGGAACAGGCTGTGGTGGATGGTTATTGTAGTATCCATAACCATAATTAGGTGGAGGAGCGGAGTAATAATATCCTTGTGGAGCAGCAGGAGCAGGAGCAGACTGTGCTTGTGAGTGATAGTTATAGAAGTATCCATAATTATGTGGAGGAGAAGGAGCATAATTAGTACTGGGATATCCATCAGGAGGAGTAGGGAGATTACTCGGCAGCTTGGACTCTAAAGTACTACCATCATTGACATTGTTACTAAAGCCGCCTGAGTTCAACTGACGGGCATTGTAATCTTGTGACATTGTGTTTTTGCTGTGGTTGCTAATATTCTTCTGTCAATATGCATATAGAGAGAGGATGAACATGCGAGGCACAAAAGAAATATAGGAGAAATTCCACACGCACATTCTAGGAAATTGTGTAAGAGAAATATTATTTTAGGGTTATTTACTCAAATGGTCCTTAAATGTTTACCCGAGTTGCATTTTAGACCCTTAATTAAATATTCGTTCAAATAGTCCACCAACTCTTTATTAATCGGGGCTTTGGTCCTACTGTTACATTATGTTAATATTGCCGTCAAATATAGGGGTAAAATAGTCCAGTTAAATAAAATAGTAGATAAATTAAAAACTAAAAATCAAAAGAAAAAAAAGAAAAAAAAACTATCTCCCTCCCAACTCCTAGTTGTTAGCCCGATAACCATTACCTTAGCGCCCAGTGGCGGAGCCACTCCTAGACCTGGAGTGGCCCTGGCCCCCCCATATTTTTATCACTCCTCTATTATATTATATATGATATATAGAATTTGTAATAAACAATGTAGAATTTAAGTTAAAATTTCCTCTAAAACAAATTAGACATGACTCAATTAGAAATATTTAGCTCTAAACATGTAAGTATTGAATGTAGGTGTTTTATGTACTTGTATTTTCTACTTCGGCCCCCCCACTTTTACAATTCTAGCTCCGCCCCTGTTAGCGCCCCATCTTCTACTTCCCATATCTTACCCTATCTTCCCCTCCTTCTCTGCAACATCATTATTAGGGAGCGGAGGTCAAAAAATCAGCTCCGATGATGGTGTTCAAGAGGTGGTAGTACTATGCGGCGCCCTTCTATTATGAGCCGGCTATGATGGCCTCGCATTTCAATCTGGTGTAGTAGCGAGCATCAGATTTAATCCTATGTGGGGTGTGGATGTGGGGGTTAGGTCGTGGGTAAGGCTCGAGGGCGGGGGTGGGGTCTAGGTTGCGACTGAGGCTGGGGTGATTTGAGTTATTGGGGAGAGAGAGAGAGAGAGAGAGAGAGAGAGAGAGAGAGAGAGAGAGAGAGAGGAGAGAGAGAGAGAGAGAGAGAGAGAGAGAGATTTAGATTGATTTGATTCAGTAAGGAACAATAGTTTCAAAACAGTGCACCCCATCAAGTCAGGAGGCAAACCTTGGAAACAATGGCAACAACATCGCGTTGCAGACCCACGCTGAGATTGGGAGAGAGAGAGAGAGAGAGTTTTAGATTGATTTGATTCAGTAAGGAACAATAGTTTCAAAACAATGCACCCCATCAAGTCAGGGGAGAAACCATGGCAACAATGGCAACAACATCCTATTGTAGACCCAAGATGAAATTAGGGTTGGGATTGGAGTGAAGGAGGATGAGATGGGGGCGGGGTTGGGTTGGTTTTTTTTTTTTTTTTTTTTTTTTTTTTTTTTTTTTTGTTTTTTTTTTTTTTATTTTTTTTTAGTTTGTAATTAATTTTTAATCATATATTTTTCTTTTTTTTAGTTGTTAAAAGTCTTATTTACCTCCACAAGTGTAGCATGTGCTGCTCACATAACTAAATTTAACAGAAAATTTAACGGTAGGATCAAGCTGATTAATAAAGAGTTGGTGCACCATTTGAATGAATAATTTAGTTGAAGAACCAAATGCAACTCGGGTATAAATTTAAGAACTATTTGAGTAAATAACCATATTCTTTGATTTTTCAGTATTGTGATTCATGATCTTGAAAGTGCATTTTGTTTTTCATGCATATATTGTCATGATTTGGAGTCTTTCTTCCTGATTGCTGCACGTGATGATACAAAGTTTTGTCATTCCTTTTTTGGCATCAAACTTTTGAGCTTCTCCAAGGGTTTTCCAAGGTAGTTAGCCTAATGTCACGGGATAAGCGAGCGGTGCGGCGCGGCAAAAGCGAAACACAAATTTCGCCACTCAAAGCACACCCGTGCGGCCCAAGATCCCTTTGGATCCTAGTCAACCTTCTCCCACTTCATGATATTCATGACTCTTACAACTACGCAAGAGGTTCCCCTTCAAGTGTCGTCTCTCATTAGACAACAAGTCACACTACCTTGTGACAATACAATCACTCCGCATCCGGTAACGAACCCTCGACGCTCATACATCAAGCATTGCATAAGACACGTCAACTGCATCGACCACGTCGCATGCTTAACTCCTGGCTCGCTCATGTCCAAGTCAAGACATAGCGATCCAACACACCATCGGTTTTACCCACACTTTTGTCGGTCATTCCTTTAGCGTCCACGATAGCCCACATCCTCAAGCTATATGTATTCCGAATGTCCCACATAACCATCTATGCATTGCATGGGGTCGCAATCCATGCGTACCGGCATCCAAATATCTTCCTTCCATCTTAGACAAGGCCGAACCCAAGCCAAGTCCATCGAGTATTAACAAATGCCTCGCTAGCCGATGGCATAGCGAATGCCATACGTTGACCTCACTCTTACAACAATGCGCAATATGAACGGCCCCGCGTGTTCGCACTGTCCTCGGGAATTCCTTTCCCTCGGAGACATAGATTATTGTTCAACAATCTTTTGCCCGCCCTTATGACTACCTCCAATATCATAAGGATGCTCGCTTAGTGCCACAAGGGTGTAAGCACCAGGGGTGGTGGAGAGCATGACACCATGTCACCCCCTATATAGCAGTTTATGCATTTAGCCTTCTGCCATGAGGGAACATCACATATGCACGATGAGTCATAATTGGGCATAACTCCCTCATACGAACTCCGAATGGTGAACCGTCAGTTGCGTTACTTGTGTCTTAACATCACAAACGTCTCGATATTCTTAGCTTCTTCAAGTTCCTCCCGTAACCTTCAGAAATACCCAAAATACCCTTCACAAGTGCAACTCGACCAACACCAACCATTCTAGCTCTTAAGCTCTTGCCTTTCCACACTTAGACTACCTCTTAAGCGCATAGATGTCCCAACGGAGTCACGATAACACTTGTCTATGTGCGACCCGTGACACTAATCACATAAATATTTTCCTCCTCCAAAGAAATAGGCATCTCAGAGCATCTCCACCCATAAGGGGTTAAGGCCTGCAAGGGCAAGGCAAGGGCTGTCACTATTCACATAAATAGTGGCAGCCTTGCCATTTGTGGTTCCACCCCAAAAACTAAGGCTAAGGCAAATACTATTCATTGTATTTTATTTCCTATTTTTTTATACTTTAAACCATTAATTTTGATAATTTTTTGTAATTAAATTTTTGGATAAGATTTTTGGTTGTCACGTGTCCATTATTTTTCAGAAAATTTTTGCGGATGACAATTTGGGTTGCCACATGTCTTATTCCAGATAAAATTTTCGAATATTGATTAAAAAAATTATAATATAATATTTCAGATAAGATTTTCACCCTATAAAATTGTGTCATGTGTCCCATGTCAGATAAGATTTGCTCCACATATGAGAGAACTTCATCTCATTGCCCGTGACAGGGCAATGACTAACGTTCACCCAAGACTGACACAACGCAATATCTTCCTGAATTGTCCACTCGCCTCTGGCTTCGGCAGAAGATGCCATTTGTTTTTTGATACAAATGGAAAGTACTAGAAATGTGGGTGGAGAGTAAAAAATATTGGAATGAGAAGAGTTTGTATGAAGATTTGGTGCGGAAAGTAAAAAATATTGGAAGGAGAAGAAATTGTATGAAGATTTGGTGTGGAAAGTAAATAAAATTGTTAGGTATTTATAGGGAAAAAATCCAGAATTTTTTGGTATTTTTTAAAACAAATTTCAGAATTTTTTCGAAGTTTTTTAGCCAAAAAAACGAGGACTGTCGGATTTCTGGAAAAAAAACCAATCGGAGTGTTCGGGTTGCGACACGGGGCGCATGGCCGTTGGATTCTGTCAGGGATGACGTCCGCGGTGACGTCGAGTTGACATCATCGAGCGGAAGTGAAATTTTTTTACCTTTGGTGCGTGAAACTCAAGCCCTAACGGTAAAAAAAATAAATTGAATTTTGCTCGTTGACGTCAGCGCTCTCAGGCTAAAGCCCAGGCGAAACTTGCCCTTGGACTTGCCTGGGCCTCTTCTCTCGCGCTGGAGCCGTTTTGGGCTTGCTCGAGGGGCCTCCTGCCTGGTTTGATGGCTGCGGTGGAGATGCTCTTAGTGGGCAAAATGTCACCGGCGGGCTGTGGTGGGCTATAACCTATATACGTTTTGAAAAAAAAACAATAATAAACCAATATCTATATGGCCCACTAAAAAAACCATTAGAGTGTGAATGATCAAAGATGCTAGGCTAGCTAGGTCACCCCTACGGCTCTTTGGGTTGGAATATTGATTAAGCCTAGCACTCGCATGAACAAGCTCTGGAGCACTGAGCAATAATTGAAGAGAAAGAAAGCTGAACAAAAAAAGACGGAGGAGCTACTTTCACACTCTGCCCACTAGGGGGTTGGATTCCTCCAACACGTCCCAATCGGTATTCAATCTTTAATAATAATAACAGGGTATTTGCCGTCCAGGTAATTTCAAATTTTATTTCAAATGCATGCATGTGGCTTGGTAAAGTCACGATCATGTCCTTGAACTAAAATACAAGTAGTGAACTTAGAGTTATATTGCTCCCAAAAAAAGAAGTCCAAAGCTCTCCAGCCAAACATGAATGCTGGGAGGAAAGGGATTCATAATAACGAAGGAGCGGATGTATTGTGTAATCACCTGAGACCTCTTCCAACTAAATAAAAACAAATACCAAAATTGAATTTTAGTTAGAAGTGGAAAAGTTTGGTGTAGAGTATCATAGTTGTAAGAGTGTATTTCTTAATAATAGAAAATAAAGGATGATTTTAGCACCCCAAAATGGGGAAAGGAAATGACTGCTACCGGCATCGATCATTCAACTCCATAGGCTGTTGTATATGTATGTGCCATTGTTTATTGATTGCTATTTCTTTCTGGTAACAATTGCGTTGTTTTATCCCTTTCTACCAGATAACACATTATTATTTTTTTTTTTTTTTTTTTTTTTTTTTTTTTAAATTTTAAAATGAGATTCACGAAACTAGGTTGGGAAACCCAAATTATTTATTTATTTATTTTATATTTGTATTTGTTTTAATCGTGAAAAAGGTTCATTGAATGGGGCCAAGAAAAGCCCAAATCAAAAGTAGAGGAAAACTAGCCTAAAACGGGAGGGACCACAAAACGCCTGGGTCAATATCCATGGGGCACAAAGGTTGACATTCAGAGAACAAATATGACAACGGAGAACCCAATAGATATAAAGACGGAAGATTCACTGTTATATTTAATATTGGAGTCTAAATTATAAAAACACACCATATGAATTAGACTTTAGAAATATACTCAAAACTCATTTACGACATAACAAAAAGGCTTTTAACTTCTTTTAAATTACAAAAATGCCATTGATTTCTTAAAACAAAGTCAACCCCAAAACCTTATAAAAAAAACTCAAAACACTCAATAGGGCATCAAAGTAATTTAATAATCAAAATTAAATTCAATAGGGTCAGCTTTTATTTTTTGGGTTTGTTTATATAAATTAAATGGTGTATGGTTTATTTATGATTTTAGTGCTAATAATGAGTATATGATTAAACAAAATGCTAGGCTTACCACATTTTTCATACCACAATTATACCACCTCTCTAAGAGGTGGGCCCCATTGTATTGGTGGGCTCCACCTCTATTAGAGAGGTGGTACAATTGTGGTATGAAAAATGTGGTAAGCCTAGCATTACTCTTGATTAAATATCTCTATAAGGAAACAAGCCACAAAAATTACCTTTAAAAAAAAGAAAAATTACTTGAGCGTTAGGAAAAAGAAAAAAGAAAAAAGAAAAGCCAGCTATATATTGACAATCTATTATATGAGGAGGAGCTCAACATATGAGTTAATTCAAGTGCATATGGATAGGCAAAAAAGGTTTATTCAGGATCAGCTTCCAGCTGAAATAGTAACACTGAAGTTTCCCCAAAAAGAAATTGATATTCCAAAGCTCCAACGAAAGAGAACTGAGGAAGAAGAGATGAAAAGGAATAAAGAAATAGAAAGCGACGGCAGCAGTCGCAGCAGCAGTAGCAGTGGGAACAATATTTGTCATAATGAAATTACAGCAACCAAAGGCGCCGAAGGTGTTGGGATCTCCAACGTTGGCAACTCCGCCGTCCAAATTAAAAGGGGCAGCGAAGGAACGAAGGGCTTCAATGAACGTGGCAATAGTTACAACATTTCTTACAATAAAATTAGTGCAGACGATGGAGCCAAGGAAACTGGGATTCACAACGTCAGCAACACCACATACGTCATGCCTTCTACTACTGAGAAGGATCGTTGAAGAAGCAGAAGGCGGCTTGAGTCAACCAAAGCCACAAGGGGGGCGCACCCGCTAACTCATCATCGATCACATGGTTTGGGAAAATTAAATATGAAAAAATATATATAAATAAAAGAGTAATCTCTTCTTCCATGTTTAATTTTATTATGTATACAATATACAGTGTGCGAAAATAAGAACTCGTACGGTAATCACCCAGGCTTGTAAGCCTGTTCTTATGTATATGTTATTTGTGATCATGGGTTGAAGTTTATTAACCGATTAATAAATTGTATTCGGCCTTTATATATAAGAGACTGGCAGCTAGTTACAAAGAAACAAGCCACAAAATTACTTTAAAAAAAAAAAAAAAAAACAAAAAAAAAAAATCATGATTCATGTCCTTGAACTAAAATACAAGTAGTGAACTTGGAGTTATAAAAAAAAAAAAAGAAGAAACAAAGCTCCAAAGCCAGACATGAGTACTAGGAGAAAAGGGATTCATAATAATGAAGGAGCCGGCAGCAGCAGGAACTATTATCCTAAAAATGAAATCAACGAAACCAGTGGCGCCACAGATGTTGGGATTTTCCCCCATGGCAGCTCTGATACCGTCTGAACCAATGCCCGTGGCGGTGAACGGAAGAAGCCCAAAGGTCTCGGCGAGGACATCTCTGGCAATGAGATTAAAGGAGATGGAGCACCGGAAGGGTTCCACAACTTCAGCAACACGAACAAGACAACTAATGAAGAAGATTACTGCGTCACCAGCAATATTCATAACAATAGCAATACCGCAGTCAATGGAGCCGAATGTGTTGGGATAGTCAACTTTCATAACACCAACTTGATGAGCAATGCCAGCCAAGGCCAAGGTGGCCGTGAAGGAAGGGAGGACTTCCCCAACCCTAACCTTAGCGCCATCGGTCACAACATTTATTCCAACAATATTAGTGCAGATGGATCCGAGAAAGTTGGGTTTATCAACTTTGGCAACACCCAATATTAGAAGACTACTTAGTACTAAAAATCATGTCAAAGTAGCCGGCTCAGATCTTCAGTACTAGTAGTCTTATAAACTCTAACAGAATAGTCTCTTCTTCCATGCTTTAATCTCAGTCGTATGTAAGAAAGTCAGAGCTCATGCAGCAATCACCGAGGCTTGTAGGCCACGTTTTATTACATGTATGGAATAAGATTCATGTTATCACTGAGGTGAGATCTGCAGGCTGGGTTTGCCTCTTTAATTTGATGCATTACATAGCTTTTGTAATTTGATGAGCAAAATCAAATAGATTATGTTGTGGTCGTTTAATGTTGTCAAGTTCAAATCCTCTCTATTTTTCTGTTGATTAAAATTGAAAAAGAGTTCTGCTTAAATATTAATTCTTTTAGCTTGACTGCTTCATCGTATACTGGTTAGCGTTGAGCAAAGGTGTAGATATGCAGTGACAGCCTTTTGGGCCATTGAAGTTGTGTACCAAGGGAAGGGAGCTTTGCCCATTGCATAGAAACCCCACCAGATCTCCAAGAGGCTTACCCAGAAGATGGGGCAAGGATTGCTTTGGTCAGTAGTGCTCTTCTCTCGGAAAGAAACATCGCTGACCGGCAATTGGAGAAGGCGGCTTCAGACAGCGTGCCTCTGGTGAAGGTTTCAGAGGATGTGGTGAGTAAAGCCTGCTGCGTGTACTTGAACTTATTGAGGTTGGTTTCTGGAACCTCTTGTTCCTTCATCATTTATATCTCTATAAACATACGTTAGTTATATTTCATACACTTGTAAGCATTCCTTCATCATTTATATCTCTATAAACATAAGTTAGTTATATTTCATACACTTGTAAGCATTCCTTCATCATTTATATCTCTATAAACATAAGTTAGTTATATTTCATACACTTGTAAGCATTCCTTCATCATTTATATCTCTATAAACATAAGTTAGTTATATTTCATACACTTGTAAGCCTCTCAAAAAAGAAATGAAACCCACCCATCTGTTGTATTCGTGCCCTGTGCCAATATTGTACGTAGGGCCCGTTTGGAAGTGCTTCTAGAATAGTTAAAAGTGCTTTCTGACAACCAAAAGCGCTTCTGATAATGTTTGGTAGAAATGTTTAGAAACGCTTTTAGGCCATAAAAGCGCTTTCTGGAGAAGCACATTTGTGAAAAATCGGAGTACTCTACCTTTGAAGAGAAGAAAGCTGAACAGAATACAGAGGAGGAGCTACTTTCGATCTTTAAGACTTTTAAACTACACTTAACCTTTTTCATTTCTCTAGTGTGTCACACACGCTAAAGATTTACCAACCTTACGTGGCCTTTTAATTACCATGCAATTCAAAATAACTTTGCCCCTACTATATAATGGAGAGGTATGCCAGCACAAAGTCAAGAGTCAAGTGCCGATGGCGACGAATTTTCTGACTGGTGATGACCATTAGCCTCCGCAGAAGAGCACAAAGTCAAGAGTCATCACTGCTAAGAGAAAAGACGATGGTACTACTACCTACTATCATAATTGCGGTTTTTTTTTTGGGAATACTTCTATAAGAAGCACTTTTGTGATCTAAAATCATTTATACAGTTTTTCTCAAGTATGTCTCAATATAAAGGATTTCAAGCCTCTACATTTAAATAGTGATTGATATTTCTTTTAGAAGAATAATGTTGATTTTATTATATCAAAATCCCAAAATTTATCAATATCACTGTATATGTATCCACCACACCACCGCATAACTATTCTCGTGACACACGTTGTGCCGCCCGCCGCACCACTAGACTGCAAGTCATTTTCCCCTATCATTCTTGCTGCCCTGCATTATATCTCAACAATTTCCATGAACAACCACCAACCATAGTATGTATGCGCTTCATGTCCTATGAATTAATCGATGTGTGAATGTAAAGAAATGTCTAACATTGGAAAGTTAATAAATTCATCAAGAATTTATAAAGAGTTGGACTAATCCTCCTATTTCCAATTGGTTTTAAGTTGAAACTTCAGCTTCTATTACAGTATCAAAGTCAACTCCTCAACCTGACAAACCCACGAATTGAATTGAACCGACTTGCGTGATCGTTTTGATCTCAATATTGATAAAAGAGTAAACAGTACAACACTAAATATAACTAAATTCTTGCACATGATAAAATTTGGAAGTTTATGAGAATAAAATTTTGGTTGTGGAAATTCTCAATTATTATTTTAATATCAATAATGTATTATGTTATATTAATTGTCCTATTATGATATTTTCACCGGATTCAATCCTCTTTCTATAGATAACGACGAAGCCCACTAGCGCGCATGATTATGTACAGGAGGTTGACAGAAGAATATATCAGACTATAGATGACGAAAAAGACCCGCAATAGCTGCCCCTTGAGCCCGAGTGGGTCCCTCGCCAATATAAGCTGAAGACCACGTGGTTCGCTTTTTTCATTTATGTTGACCGGGGGCTAAAAAAGGGAACAAAATTACATCAAAACCCAACGATATCCTCAACCACATAAGTTTTCCACACGAGAGTGAATTGTTTTTTGGACTATCAAAATAAGACTAAAAAACCTCATACCAAAAAGAGATAAAGAAAGACGAAGACCAAAACCACCCCACCTAACCTCCCATCCCATCCCATCCCATCCCATCCAATCCCAGGACTGCACCCACCCACTCTTTATCTCTCTTTGCGCATTATTGAAGAATAAATGTGTGGAGGAGAAACGCCGGATATCAACTTGAGATATAAACTTAAGTTGCCAAGACTACATTGACCCCCAAATTAGCCAACACAATAAAACACGGAGATCATTTTCACATTTAAGCTTATTTTTATGTATAGAAAAAAATTAGTAAAATATACAAACGGCCTAATTATTATTATTATTTTTTGTCTGGTCAACTAATTATACTGACATTGGCCAAAATATATTGCCAACTGAAAAGCCACATGGTACATTATTATGTTTGTTACATGGTATTGCCATTAATTTTTTGCTACCGCAAATAAGGTATGTGGCCAATTGAACACTAGATTCTACTAAAATTAAGGGCGGAACCACACTAAGGGCTACAGTGGTCTGTAGCCCAGTGTGGTTTTTTAAGGAAAAAAAAATATAACTTATATATTTAACTTATTTTCAATATTAGCCCAGTCAGTGGTGTTGTATAAATTACCTTATTTTCATTTTAAGCATTTAAGTAAATGTCTTTGTCATTTTTCTTTTATTTATTTTTATATTACTCAATTTACTTAAGTTTACAATGTAAATAAAGAAGTACCCCTCATTTGGATTCAAATAAAAATACTAGAAAATCAAATTCTCACCAAATCAAAATATAAAAAATCGGTTTTAGTGCAAAATACAATTAGGCTAAAAATGATCGGCTCATTAAATCAATATATACTTCATACTAAAATTCCATAAAATCAAGTTTGCTCATTTGATGTGTGAGGAATAAAAGCCGCCAAAAATTATCTTGAGAAAATGATTATTCCGAAAACCCATTTTTCATACTTAGTCAATATTTTTACTTAAAACAACTTTTCATGTATGATATGAATGCATGAAGGAACCTAAGGTCAATCTAGGTAAAAAGCCTTAGATGTTCAATCCACTATGGTATTAAACCCTATTTGGTTTTTGTTAAAACTTATTGAAACTTAGTCTATGGAGCTATAAACTAGTTTGGTTTACATGATTTAATGTTTACTTTTATTTCTAGAAAGACTATAGAAATTGTAAGTACCAAAAAAATAATCATTAAATTTTAAGCTAATAACTTTAGCTAGCCCACCCATTGAAAAATTCTTGGTTTCGCCCTTGACCGAAACTGTAATTGTAGCTCATACAGCAATGAACTCAGGCTTGCAGACCTCTTTTTGCTTATGTATAATTGTAACAGTGTTAGTATATGTGATGTACCTAGTTATTATAGTTAAAGGGCAATGAAGGAAATTGACTCCATCTAAAAAGAATATGAACGTGTAATTCTTCCCAAAGACAGAAGGAGAAATTTGGTTTAGTTCTTATTCAGTCATCATGTGATAACATCATATCAGAAGAAAAACTAGGTAGAAAAGAGCAGCTAAGTTATTCTCGCCGGATATATATCTTGTATACATACAGAAAAAGACAGTGGTGGGTGGAATCTTGCCTACTGATTAGGCGAATTCAGTGGTACAACCAATGTCAGCTAGTTATCTACAAAGAAAAAGGTGTCCTTGACTCTGATGTGATTGATAATTTTTTGTTTAAGTCCACATGATAGGTTTAAAAATTCACCACACAAGTAGGGGTGAGAATGTGAAAGTGAAATATGTCCCACATTGAAAAGTTGAAAAAGGTGTTGGGGCACTACCCTAATTGCCAATTAGGGTTTAGGGGTAGTAAGAGTGGCTCGGTCATCAATAGGACCCTCCTTATTCATTCTATAGGACGGGGCCGCAAACTTCAACTATCCCCTGTTGAGGTGAGGACTCAATTGCATGATAAAGAAGCTGAACAAGTTGATGCGGTTCCAACTCTCTGCTATATGATCTTTGCTTGCGGCATCTCTAACTATTCGGTTAGTGTCTTTCACTTAATGAATCATGTGTTTTTCAAAGCATTACTATTCCTCGGTGCAGGTTCGATGATTCATGCCATGTCGTAAGGGGAGTTGGAAAGATGGCATTGGGACAAAGCTAGAATTCGAGCGAAAAAGGCATCACACGAGATGAAGACGTCCATAGAAGTTACAAAGAAACAATAGAAGAAGGGAGTGTAAGATTGGTCTGGGTCACGCACGGGCTGTCCCAACTCGGCAATTCATTCGGTGACTTTGAGAGTAGGCTTAATGTTGAGATCCAAAAAATCCCCGGTTGGGCCCGAATAAATTTCTTACCCTAAATGACGCATTATTTAGAAAATGCCCAATTTGGAGCACGCAAAGATCCGCTATGCACGAATCACACTTCGTGTGCCATGCCAATTAAATAATCTGTCGTGCTAAGAATTGAGATTAAAGTTATAAAATGCGTTAGTTCTACAAAATTTGTGCTAATAATCCCTTCAAGCATCATAATTAAAAAACATGCCAAGCAACATGCCATGCCAAACGGGAAATTGTTATGTCATACCCAACCAAGCTATAAGGCTAAATGGGCCCAAGCCACTCAAATACCCGGGACTTGCTTGAGTGGGTTGTGGTATGGATGGTAATGAATTGTCATGAGGCTCATTGATGGACTGAGAAATAGAGGTTCCGGGTCGCTTGGCAGCCTCAGTACTCAGGCCCATTTCTTAGGCCCAAAAATGTCGGTAAGCACAAGAGAGAAAATATCTCAACCAAAAGCCCAACCAAAATGGTCCACTAAAATTAACCAATATATCCAAAAACTTGAGGAGATTAGCCCATTTGTTTGGTAGGTTGACTTGTCATATTAGAAAGCCCATACAATTAGAAGTAAGAAGTAGCAAAGGCTTCAACATTTAGCTGAAGGACAAAGCCACGAAGGAGCTTGGAAGACCACGTGAGCTGCTGGGAGGGAAGGAACAAGTTTTCAAGCAAAACATCTAAGGAACCAAAAGATACTGGCGCGCAAGGAGCCACCATTCAAACCAACATGTATACCAATTTCTTTCCTTCATCAGATCTGACCATAAAGGAGGAAAAGAAAGAAAGGAAAGGAGATATCTGAAATAGGAATTCTTCACTAGTGCAGTTGCAGGAAAGCAACCTGGAGCTCCCAAAATCCCTGATTTTATGCAAATGAGCAGAATAGATTTCACCAAAATAGGATGCTTGAAGGGATTAGGGGAGAAAAGAAGGGAAAGACTTGGCAAAATGGGATGGAAGCCATTAGGGTTTCTTGGAAAAAGATGGCTTCCAGCAGCTATAAATAGGGCCTCTTTTACCCAACGATAATCATCCACATCCAGAGAGCAAGCTTCCTCTTTTACTTGCAAAACCTAGCAATTTCATGCACTATTCACCATTCTTCCCCATTTTCCCTCTTCTAGTAGATTGTTCTAACATTTGACAGAGTCTCTGTCAAGCTACCAGAAGAAACGCTCAACCCACCCTTTCCTTTCTCTCCCTTCTCTCTTAGCCAAATCTTCTTGCAAACCTTTTCTTTCTTACCTTGACACCTTTTCGTCCCTCCAAGAACACATAATTTTCTTTTCAGTGCTAAACTCATGCCAATTTTGCTTCCATGCCATGATCTCCTCATACCAAGCTAAGAATTCGTCTATAAGCACTAAGAATCTATCTATAAGTAGTCATTATTTTTGTTGGTGAAGGTAATCAAGGTGTTTCCTAAGGTTTTACTACCATTTCGAAACATTTTGGGGGTCTGATCTTTGAACTCAGACACAGGGGATATTTTTCTTCAGTTTTCTCCTTACGACAGCTCAGCCCATTTGTAGCAAAAAAAAAAAAAAAAAAAAAAAAAAAAAAAAAAAAAAAAAAACCCCCCCTATACTACTATTTATAAACATTTAATTTAGATATTAATTAAATTTTAGACCAAAATTTCTCTCTCTCTCTCTCTAGGGGTGGGCACAGTTCGGTTTAGATCGATTTTTACCTCAAATTAGAACTGAATCCGATACTATTCATCCAATTTGGTTCGATTCAGTTTTAACAAAAAAATTCAAAAACTATCAGATTCTAGTTCGGTTTTGATCCGGTTCGATTTTGAACCGGATTATTAAAATTATTTTTTAATACAAATTTCAACTGAAATTTTATTTTTTTGACTTGAAAATTAATAAATTATTTAATTTCATATAAAAATACATATTAAAGCTAGAAAAGAGAGATGTTTTGAAATTGAACTTAGATAAATATTAGTTATGAGATTAAAAATATAGCATTGAATATAAATAAATATTGAAACTATATATTTTTAATTTGATTGGTTTGGATCGGCCCGATCTGGGTTTTGAAGACAGAGAACCGGATCCAAATCGAATCCAAATCGGTCTAATTCGATTTTTGACCGATTGTTGACTTTTTGGTCTACTCTATTTTTTTTTCCGGTGCGGTTCGGCTCGGATTTCTAGTTTGCCGGTTTGAGTTCCCACACCTACTCTCTCTCTCTTCTTTACTCCCTTCGCCCGCTTTCTTCTTTCTTTTCTCTCTCCTCTCTTTTCTTGTTCTTCTTCTGTCTCTCCGCCATTTTTCTTCTTTCTTTTTCTTTCCTTTTGCCTTTCTCTATTTGTTTCTATTTTGTTTTATTAAATCTCTATTTATCTCTTCTTCTTTTTTCATGTGTTTCTCAGTCTACAGATTGATGGTGGTTTTATGTGGTGAAGATGTTATGAGCTGATGTTGAATAGGCGGTTTGATCATCTTGAGCTTGTGGGTGTTTTGGTGGAGGACCCGACTGTAGTCTGAATCACTTGGGTGTCCAAAAAAGTTTTAGCCCACCCCTGTAAAAAATCGTGGGTCTGCCACTGTAACCAAGGTGAAGATATGTCTACAGGCTTCCTAACCCTAAAGCCTAAAATTGGTGATAACAAGAAAGCATCTGAGGATGCTAAAGTGAACATCGAGCAGGAAAACAACAGCAGCTCGAACCCAGCAACGGGTTCCAAAAGCTGTGCTACTTCTAGTACAACTACCAAGCCCAAGAATAATACTGAGAGAGATGAGGCCAAAAGAGGCGTTGCCTTCAACATTTATGGGAATACAATTGAGGGGAGCAATTCAGGTAGGGTAGGAATTTTCGAGTTTGGCAACAAAAACGTTTATAAAGGCCACAAGAAAGAAAAACAAGTCGACTCAAGAAGTGGAGAAACCGACTCGGCCTCCGGTGGTGAAAACGAAGAGTGAACTCAGGTGATCTGTAGTCTGCAGGCCTCTTTATTTTATGTATGCACCATTTCTTATGTAATTTGATAATCAAGATTGAATATTATCCTTTACACAAGCCCTTTTAGTTTTGAGTTGGTTTCCTATGCCAGATTCCTTCGTGTAGTTCTACTATCTAACGATTATGTGCAGCGATCAGTGATCCATGATGATTGATGACTATCATAGACAGGCAATAAGGTCCCATGATTGATGAAATTGTTTCTTCACCAAAGGTGTATTTCCTTGTTGTGGATGAAATGAATGTAAGCTTAATTAAGGGCTTCACACTCAATTCTAGTGAAATACAAACATCATGTGCAGAAATAGAAATCATAAACAAAACTCTGCTAGTAAATTCATATAGGTGTAAAAGAAATTAAACAAGAGTTATAGCAATCCTACAAGATATGAACTAGGGATGGGCATGGTCCGATTTGGTCCAATTCTCATCTCAAATTGGAATCGAAATTGGTGCTATTTAATCGGTCTGATTTGATCTGATTTTAGTAATTTTTTTTGAAATTGGCTAGAAAATTAACAAATGATCAAATTTCATACAAAGAGAGATATTGAGCCTAAAAAAGAGATGTTTTGAAGTTGGACTTGGAAAAATATTAGTTATAAGATTAAAAATGTAGCATAGGATTTAAATAATTTTATATTAAAAAAAAATTATATACAACTGGTCCGGTTTGATCTGGTCCAATTTGGTGCGGTGTGAAATCGAAATTAGAATCGATTGGAATCGATTCAGTCCTATTTGATGCCAATTTATTGACTTTTTTAATTAACTGATTTTTTTTTCATTTGGTCCGATTTCCGATTTTCGACGATTATGAACTTCGTCGGTGAGCTGTAAAGCTGTCAAAATAACAAAACCAGTCCATGTGCAGCCATTCACTTAAATAATGATTATTGGGATGTCTTTGTTAAATACATGATGGAGGAAGAACACGGGAAACAAAGGATGGTGCTCCAGACAGCTTTTACAGATTTCTTTAATGGATAGAAATCTGTAAAGCATACACCAATTCAGTATAAACGGGAGGGACCACAAAACGCGTGGGTCAATATCCATGGGCCCATAGGTCGGCATCCAGACAACAAAGTTGACAACGGAGAGCCCAAGACGTATAAAGAATTTGGATACTTTTCTTATCCCTTTCAATTGTATCATATATATATAATATATAGAGAGCTTCCATTGAGGGATCCCTCAAATAAGTTTATTTGAGGGACACCCCTTGTAGGCCCCACTATGGATTGTATTTCACTAATCCAAACCGTCTATTTTATAGATACTCATTCAAAGATCATCTTTACAAAAAATAACTTGAATCCGATATCATTTGACCACTCAATTGAGTTATTGAAATTTTAGTACTTTCTTGAAGCACCGTGTTCATTGATTTTGTAAGACACAATTGGATGTCGAAACGATTTCCGATTTGTCTAATTTTTTGAAAGGATGATCTATGAATGAAGACCTAAAAAATATATGGTTTGGATCATTGGAAAAAAAATTGTAGGGTACCCTAAAGGGCGTCCCTCAAATAAAATTATTTGAGGGATCCCTCAATAGAAGGGGACTGTATATATATCTATTGAGGGATCCCTCAAATAATTTTATTTGAGGGACGCCCTTTAGAGTATCCTACAATTTCTTTTCCAATGATCCAAACCATATATTTTTTAGGTCTTCATTCATAGATCATCCTTACAAAAAATTAGATAAATCGGAAACCGTTTCGACATCCAATTGTGTCTTACAAAATCAATGAACACGGTGCTTCAAGAAAGTACTAAAATTTCAATAACTCAATTGAGTGGTCAAATGATATCGGATTCAAGTTATTTTTTGTAAAGATGATCTTTGAATGAGTATCTACAAAATAGACGGTTTGGATTAGTAAATACAATCCATAGTGAGGCCTACAAGGGGTGTCCCTCAAATAAGCTTATTTGAGGGATCCCTCAATGGAAGCTCTCTCTCTCTCTCTCTCTCTCTATATATATATATATATATATATATATATATGAAATTATTCAAAATAAAGATAACTGAAATTAGCAATTTTTATTCATACTCACAGAAGTAACTCCAAGAGAGCAACTTCAGACTTTAGATAACAAAACACTCAGTGTTTACAAAGATGATTTCTCTAAAGTGTTTAGAGAGAATCTTTAAAAAACTGAAATGTAAATTGTAATCTGCTTACAACTGAGGCCGAGACCAGCTTATATAATACAAGGAAAGTAACCAAGATTTACAAAAGCAACTAGCGTTACTTAGAAAAGTAACTAGAGTAACCGAAAGCAACTCTGAAGATAAGGGGGCAACTGTGTAGGCACGGGAGTGACCTGTTTCAACTTTCAAATAAGTCTGGTAATAATTTGAGCAACTTTTGACTTCTTTTCAGCAACTTTTCTCTTTTACTTTGTAACTTTCTTCTTTTACTCATGGTGAAATGTCGGAGAGCAATGATGATAGAGGCAGGGGGCAGCTGGCTGCATAAAAAGATGCTTCATAAAATCATTCTCCAGGGCAATTATTGTGTCGGCAACTAGGAGCAATTATTATGCCTGCAACTTGAGATGCTTAGTCAGAATTCAAATCATACCCATCATATGGGTCTTGACTGTCTTCAAACCAGGACTTCTTTTTGACAGGGCTTTGCATAAGCTGGCAACTAGACGATGAAGGGGAATCATTGTCTTCATCATCATCCATTTGGGAGGCTTGGATGATCAACTGACGTGCAATTTCTTGGAGTTCAGACTTCGATTTTCCTTCGACTGAGAGAGAAGATCGGGTCGAACCAGTAGGGGAGACCGGACGCGGAATAGGCTCTTGGGGCAGATCATTGTAGACATATCTGGCAATTCTGTCAACTTCAAATTTATCCCACCATTTAACTGAGAATTGGCGGGTAAGGACTCGGGTAGAGTCTTTGGCAACTTTGTAGGACCACTTGAGGATCCAAGGAACTTTATATCTGGCTACAAAAAGCATTTGCTTGGGAAAGAATAAATCATTTTTGGCGAATTTGGCTTTTTTAGTATAATGGCGGATCAACTCATGAACTGAAATAGGCAAAATTTCATCAATTGGGCCGTGCTTTTCCCACCAATGGAGGAACCAGAAGGGAAAAGGACTTTTGAACTTATTGTCAAAATTAATAAACCAGGAGTGACTAAAATCCTCGGTTTGATGGAGGAAGATAGAGTACCAGGCTTCAATATAATCGGAATAATTATACTGTAATTTTGACTGGAGGGTTTTTAGCTCATAGGGATGGCTACTGAAGGATTCTTGGCTTACAATCTTATGGATATAAAGAGAATGATAAAGGATAATCTCAGGATGATCTTTATCCCTTATCGGCTTAATTTCAACTGATTGGGTTTCAAGTAATATATCTCTATAATACTTGAGAGACTTATATGAACTGGGAGGCATATAATGAAATCCAGGAGGAAAATAGTGTTTGGCTATTTCAACTGGATCAGAATGAACATCATAAATTGGCTCAAGAACGAATAAATGAGAAGTGCTTTTAGGCATATAAGGGGATGACTTTTTGAAGGGGGCAACTGAAGGTCCAGCAGGGGAATCACCAAAGAAGGGATCATAACTGGAGATTAGGGTTGACTGATAACTAGGGCGAATTTGGCCGACTGTAGATCCTAGGGCAGAGAATCTATTGGCAACTGAGATTGGTGTGGCAACTGAGATTGGTGGATGACCTGGGTAAGGAACCACCGACTTGGGGATTTCTGGCTTATTTTGACTCATGGATGCAGGGAGGATTCGGAGCGACTGGGAAGGCGACTGGGATGACTTAGATTGGCTGGTTGACTCTTTTTGCTTGTCTTTTTTGGGTGCCATTGTGCATCCTGCAAGAATTCTCTAGTAAGAAAATCAGGAATTGAATTCTCACTTCCTCTCAGATACTCAATATCAAAGTCAAATATACTTAAAATGCTTTGCCATCGTGCAAAAATCTGTTTAGATGCAATGTTTTGAACATCTTTTTCTAAAACATGTTTTGCAGATTTACAATCAACTCGTATTAAAAACTTTTGATTAAGTAAATCATCTTGAAATTTGCTAATACATAATACAATAGCTAATATTTCCTTTTTAATAGTACTATAATTATATTGCGACTGGGTCCAGATTCCAGAATGGAAACGAACAATTTGTTCTGGAGATTCTGGGGAGACTCTTTGTTTCAAAATGCCACCATAACCTGTGTCAGAGGCATCAGTTTCAACTATTTTGAAGGAATCAACTGAAGGAATGCCAAGGCAGGGAAGTGTCTTGACATGGGCTTTGATTTGCTTAACAATTTCAGTATGAATATTCGACCATGGGGGAGGATTACTCTGCAACCTATCAAACAAGGGCTTACATTGTTTTCTCAGATTTTGGTAAAAGTCAGAAACGTAATTCAGAGATCCTAAAAACCTATGGAGTTGACTTTTATCAAGAATTTGATCAGGGAATTTATCAGCAAATTGGATGACTCGATCAATTGGGGAGATTTGTGACTGACAGATATTAAAACCAAGAAATCTGATATTGGTTTGGAATAACTTGATTTTCTTGGCAGAGACAACTAAACCATTTTGTTTGACAATTTGAAGAAACTTATGCAAATGTTTCCAATGCTGCTCTATAGACTCAGAGAAGATGAGAACATCATCAATATAGACAATGGAGAAATGACTATAAGGATTGAAAATTTCATTCATGATATTCTGAAATTCACTAGGAGCATTTTTCAGACCGAAAGGCATTACGTTCCATTCATAATGACCAAAAGGGGTGACAAACGCAGTCTTATACCTATCAGACTCATGTATTTGGATTTGCCAAAACCCACTCTTCATATCAAATTTAGAATAGACAACTGCTTTTTCTAATCTATTAATCAGGTCTCTCTTATTAGGTATGGGATACCTAATCCATTCTAAGACCGAATTTAATGGCTTGTAATTGATAACTAGTCTTGGGACTCCTCTTTCTAGTTCAGCATTTTTCTGGACATAAAAAGCAGGACATGACCAAGGGGACTTACTTTTGCGTATGATTTTCTTTTCAAGTAACTCATGAATTTCTTTCTTACAGAATTCCATTATTTCTTGACTCATCTGGATTGGCCTAGCTTTAGTAGGAATGTTTTTCTCACTAAAGGTTTTGATATAAGGAAGATGGACAACATGTTGTTTCCTATACCAAAAAGCATTAGGCAACTCAGAACAAATTTCATTTTTTAATTTAGTCTCAAACTGTTGGATTTGCAACTGTAGGGAAGTATCATTAAGCTGTTGTTCAATTCTTTTGAACCTAATTTCTTCTTTAAGAAAATTCAACTGACTATTTTTTCGAATAATTTGTACTGACTTAGAGACTGACTGTTTCTGCAGGGCTCTCAGGTTATGCAATTCTGGCTTAGACAAGAACTCAAATTTAACCTTTTCCCCTAAATAAGTAGAAATGACACCATCATAGTCTACCTGAAAGGGATACAATAAGGCAACAAAAGGTAATCCTAAAATGACTTCATCAGTAATATTTTTGACTAGGACAAATGAGGTTTTGAAACAGATCTTATCTTGGCAAACATGGGCTTTTGAGATTTCATAATTCAACTGGAGAGATTTTCCTGAAGCAGTACTTAGGGATTCTCTAGACTTCTGGTAAAACTTAGTAGGGATTAGACCTTCCTGGATACAGTTAAGGTCGGCTCCTGAATCAAATAGGGCAACTGTGGTAAACTCAAAATTCTGGACAAATATTGTTACTTTTGAATACCATTTCCTAAAATTGACTTGTCTAATTAGGCTGACTACTTGTTGGTCTTCTGGAGGTTCATCATCAAAATTATGTGGACTTCCAGACTGGCTTTTAGACTCAGAGGACTCTTTTTCCATTAAGTGAATCAGATCTTGTTTAATTGCATAGTTTTCACTTTGCAATTTATGACTCATTTGTTTTAATTCAACTATTTATTTTTTCACCATTTTTACTTCTAGTTGTAGGTCTTGTAAAGTGACTTCCTTTCTCTTAGCAAATCTTTCTAAGATAGTGTTTAAACTAACCGGTTGGGGTTTAGACTGACTCGGGCTTTCCTGACTTATGACTTTCCTTAATTTTTTTAAATATTCAGCTTTTAAATCGGGATTTTCAATTTTACTTATTAAGTCTATTAGTAATTCTTCCTGTTCTTCCTGTTTAGTAAGAACATAAATGGACTTTAACCTATTACAACATTTATCCGTGCAACCAATTTGGATATTAGGTGAACTTGACTGTGAATCTGAAGACTGGTCAGATTCAGATTCAGACTCAGAACTAGCAACTAAGGTTTCAACACTGCTTGTTTCAGAGTCTCGCAACTCTAAAACTTTTATCAATTTTTCCTTATCTTCGTCTGCAATTTTCAACTGTTTAATGGTATCTTTTACTTTACACTCAGAAGCATAATGGCCGAACTTTTGACATTTAAAACATTTAACTTTAGTTTTATCACTATTCTTTTTGGACCGATTCTTCTTTTGACCTTTAGGGGCTTTTGACCAATTTTTCTTAGAAAAGAATTTTCTTTTCTTGTAAAATTCACGATCATCCACTACTACATTTTAGTCTTTGCGCGACGAAAGGGTATTCGTCGCGCAAAAATGATTTTAGTCGCACATAATTATGCGCGACAGAAGCTTCGTCGCGCACAATCCGTCGCGCAAAGTTCGTGAAGAAAGGATTTGCGCGACGAACAAATGTCATTCGTCGCGCAGTTTGCGCTACGTATAACATCTTCGTTTCAAAAAACATTTCGCGACGACCTCATTGTCCGTCGCACAAATATTTGCGCGACGAAACAACGGTCGTCGCAAAAAAAAACTGCGCGACGGAATTGTCCGTCGCGCGAGCTACATGAACCTTGCGCGACGACATCTTATTCGTCGCGCATAAACATCTTGCGCAACGAAATTACTCGTCGCGCAAGATTAAAATATATTTGTCGATTTGTTATTTAAATGTTTTTGCGCGACGATTTACGTTTCGCCGCGCAAAAGCAATATATATTATTAAAAAAATTTATTATTATTTGATTTTTAATTTTGTAAAAAAATAAATTTTGTTTTTTTTTAATTAAAATGAAATTACAATAAAAAAAATTAATCGTAAAGAAAACATCTATTATATAAAATAAAATAAATGTATACAAATTGTAAAAGTAATTATAAAAATAAAAAACTAATCAAATAATGTTCCGAAATCTACTTGGTCATCTGCCACATGCGGCTCGGAGGTATGGGTGTCTGCAGGGGCCGTGGTGTGCTGGGGATGCTCGGGGTGGACGGGCTCGGAGGTCGACGCACCAAAATTCGGGATTGGAATGCCGGACCGCGCGAGGGACTGCAGAATCACCGACATCTGACCCTCAAGCTCGGCAACCCGCGATGTCAAAACAGTCACCTGACTGTTTGCCTGCGCCGATGACCGCGGTCGAGGTTCCCTCTGTCGGGCATTCCCCATCCCCCTACAATACGTTCCCGGCCTCCTCCCGAGAGTCTGATCCAACGTCTGCGTCAAAATCTGAAATCCAGCATCATGCGGAGGATCCACAGACTCGATCGGAGTCTCGGGAGGAAGTTGGGAGGCGGACTCTTGAAGAACCAACTGGCTCCTCTCCACCATCGTCGTCTGTTTAACATTACATAAAATATAAATTCAAAAATGCATATAAATTGAAAGTGTAACATAAGAATTAAAAATACATAATACTTACATGAAGGGACTCGGCCAACTCATTCCCAGGTCGAACATAAACGTCACCAAAGACGTCGATCTCTGGGAATTTCGACCCCCCCTTAATTGAACAAGAGAAGAAAAATATAATAATAATAATGACGTATTAAAAATTTAATATAAATTATATTATTCTTACCCGACGCCGTGCATCCATCCTATATGAGAAGGGCCTGGAGCCGGAATGGTGAAGAAGAGTCTTCTTCTTCCTATTGCCCTTATTCACTTGGGCTTTATTCTGTTATACAAAAAATAAAACGTAAGAATTGAACTATAAATAAATTAAATAATAATGAGATATAAAAAATAAAATAAACATTAAACAAATATTATTAAAAAAATACCACATAATCGGGCGCCTGAAAATGAGCACAGAGCCACGCCCAACTATCCTCCCGCCCCTCAAGCTCCTTCGGGCAACCCTCCTGAAGAGCGACTTCCGGATCATCAAACGCCTGGAAATGGTGGTGCAAGTCGCTCTTCCACTGCTTGTACCTCTCACCGAAGAGTCTGTTGACGTACGCCAAAGTCTCCTCGTTGATGTCCTCTAAGTCGTAGTTCGTCTGCAATAAATTGATTACATACATTAAGTAATAGAAATATATAAAGTTTGAAAGAAAAATAATTAAAAGATAGGAAAAATACCGACAACTGGCCGCGAACTTGCATCTTGATCTCGTCAGGTATGACCTTCCAAGACTTCCATTGCATCGGGCAATGGGTCCGAACGACGTGGCCAATGTCGTGGGCCAAGGAGCTATGCAAGTCCGCCGTCGGTGCAGCCCGATGGCGCTCGTCATATCCGATGCTGATACGACTGTTGGTCACCCGGGTGACCTTCGCCGTCTTCAGCTGCCGACACGGCCCTCGGGTGTTCCTCTTGGCTGCAAAGGGATATGACAATATTGTTACATATACAATCAAATTGAACCATAAAATTCCCAATTAAAAAAATGTTAAAAAAAAAATGAAAGGGGAAGGGTATTACCTGTAGGTGCCCCCGAGGCACCAGTACAGTCAGTGGATGTGGTGTCGGTGGTGGTAGCGGGCCGGTGTCGCCGCCTAGCGCTAAGAGGCTGCACCACCGAAGAAGATGATGATGCAGCCGCCTGGGATCCCCCAGGACCAGCTAGCACGTGGTCCTGCTCCATCAGTGCTGGAGCAGTGGCAGCTGATACCGGCTGAGCCGGGGGCTCCGAACTCGGTGTAGCCGTCACCGCCCTACGACGTCTAATCAAGTCTGACATCTGCACAATTTCATTAATCCAATGTAGCACATACAATGTCAGTAAAAAATTGAACTAACTAATTAAAATCATAGTTTGACCTAGGGTTTGCGATTTCGGAGTATCCAGGACTCCGATCCACAATCCGTCGATTCCTAAACGATCCTATAAATACATGGTACCACATACGTGAGTTTCAGCTCGATCCAACGGTCAGAACATATCAAACCCTAAAATCGCACAATAGGTTCGAACCGTTCGACACTCAAACGATAACCAAATTCCAATCCGAGCACACCTACGCGCTCGTGACAACGAAATGTTTGCACTGGGACAAAATGCCCTATGCCACAGTACCCCACGCGCCAGCACACTCGCTGGCAGCGCGTGGGTGCCCTAAGCGATAACGATCCCCGGGAAATCCTACAAATTAAGGGGCAAGGTTCCTACCCTAGGTTTAAAACATGAATTGGAGGCACTTTTGTTCTCGGACCTACCCCGAAAAACGGACGGAAGTGGCCGGAATTTCAATTTCAAAACCGGCCGAAACCTAGGGTTTCAAATTGACTACCCTATGCACACAATCAATCAAATCCTACACAACCATCAGCTAGAGCATGAAAAATAGCCAGAAAGCATACCTCAATTGCCGGATTTGGTGCCCGGAGGAGAGAGAACAACGGCGGCGGAGATTCGGCCTAAACGGAGCAATTCACGGCGGCAGGATTGATGGCCACGCCGGAGAAGCTCCTGGGTTCGACGGTGGCGGCGGCAGGGTCTGATTTGGGGCGGATTAGGGGCTGAGGTCACAGCGGAGAGAGAGGGAGGTTTTAGGGTTCCGTTTGAAAAATTGGGGAAGAAGGAGAAGATCGCGATTTTCAGAAAACTTATTCGACTTTGCGCGACGAATATAGATATCCGTCGCGCAAAGTTCATTAAAATAACCTTTGCGCGACGAAAAACTAAACTTTTCGTCGCGCAATACTATAAAAATTTGACTTTGCGCGACTTAAAAACCTGATTTCGTCGCGCAAAGTTGTGAACATATATACCTTGCGCGACGAAACAACTACTGTCGTCGCGCAAACTTGTCCAGCCGCCCAAAATTTTGGGATTTGATTTTGCGCGGGAAAAATCAATGCAATCAAATTGCGCGACGATTGCCCAATTCGTCGCGCATGCTAGCTGTTGCCAAAAAAATTTTGCGCGACGACTGGACACGGATTCGTCGCGCAATCTGGCTTTGCCAAAAAAAAATTCACTAAGTGCTGGAGCGGAGAGGGGAGAGAATTTTTTTATTGATTTTGCGCGACGAAGGGGTGTGTATTCGTCGCGCAAACTGGCTTTTGATAAAAAAATTTCACTAAGTGCTGGAGCGGAGAGGGGAGTGAATTTTTTTTATTGATTTTGCGCGACGAATGGGTGTATATCCGTCGCGCAAACTGGCTTTTGCCAAAACAAATTTCACCAAGTGTTGGAGCTGAGAGGGGAGCGATTTATTTATTGATTTTGCGCGACGAATGCATTATTTTTGTCGCATATGGTTTGCGCGACGCGTAAGCGTAAGTTCGTCGCGCAAAACCATACCCTAGTACCCTAAACCCTAAAACCTGTACCCTAAGCCCTAAACCCGAACTCCTGAACTAGTTTCAATGATCCAACCGGCAATCTTCTTTTTTCATAGTTCAAGATCGTATACGTCAAAAATCATAATGAATGAACATTCAGAGATTGAGTAACGGGACAAAACGTTTCGACGGTTGTAAACAAATTGTCCCGATTCAACAGTGATTTTAGCTCCGATCTTGAAAATTTTTTACAGCTGCGGTTCTTGACCCTATATGAATACAGAGATGTAATTCGATCTTCAATTTCAGATATTTACAGTACAAGAC